ACCACTGCCATATGGCGGGAATATTAATATTGCTGTGTACATCAAACAAGCAAAGGCAACATCAAACAGAAGACGGGTCACAACTGCTGTTACGAAAGTATGAACAGTCCACGTGTTTATGTGATAAGAAAAGTTGGCCTTGAATATATAAAATACCCATACCGATTTTTATAAGTACATTCGGGGCAGTGTTTTCTTGGAATATGAAACACATACATTTGGAACAGTGTAGTCAGCGCTTGAATCTGGAAACTACCTTAAGTCAGTACCATTGTCTCAAGCGGTCTTTGTATATTCATTCTAAAACAATACCGCAAGTTAATGTTTTTATCTTGATTTAAAGACAGGTGGTCAATATGCAAATGTGCAAGAGGCAAAATAATAAGTTTGATTTTATCAATTGATTTGATTTTAATTTCTCACAAAATATATTTGAAGTTAAAGTGCAATAACCTTTAGAGTAATCTGAACATGCTTTGGTGACATCATCACATGTTTTAGCTTCATTCCTCATTTATGTCGGATGACAAGATACTGACCAACAGGGGGCACGGGTGACCCAGGCGTCTGAGGCACCGCAATTAGCTGTGCAGAGTTGCTTCCCTTTGACGTGCCAGAAACCTATGATCATGTTTGAATCCTGATTCGCCCTGATTATATCTTGTATTATCCTCTTAATGCCGGGTACGCAGGGTAAGGAGTGCCGTCTTTGAACGTATTTTGGTATGATGCTGCCTGGGATCGAACCACCGACCTTCCACTCTCAGGACAGACCTCCCATATCAAGCTGACACGACCTAACAGAAATACTGTTCAACGCGGGATTAAACAACTCATTCAAACTACTGATGGGCAGCAATGGACTGCAGATCCTCAGGACACTTGGACATAGATACAGATATGCAAACATCAAATTGAAGCAATTGGGATGTGGGATGATTAACGTCTAAAGTTAGTAATCAGTAATCATTATTAAATTCTGACTATGGTTTTGATGAAAACTTTTTAATTATATTTATCAAATTCTTCAAAAACTTTAAACGTTCGCCCCATCAGAAGCTGAAGCAAGTGACTATTGCTCTATAATGATTTAGGTGTATATGTGACAATAACTGCAGTGAGGTCAATATCTAGTAGAAAATACTAGAAATGTAGTTTTGAAAAAGTTTGAAATATATCACACAATCATATTAGCAGCATTCGGTTCACAGTATCCTGATAATTCCTCCCAAATGGAAATGGTTAGCATCTCTGGGAGTTCTTTATTGAAGTACTGAGGAGGCCACAGGCCTGTAGTACAAATATAAGTAGTACATTCAGAGCAGTAGAGTCTGTAACATAATATATTCCCATCATTGCATGATAAATGCACATAGACACATTTTGTAAAAGTAAGCAATTCTAGTTGTTTTAACAGAGATGTGAATTTAAGGAAATTGGGATTGGCACAGTAATATTCAGGGATATACTTTGTCCTTAATATTGAATAAAATGGACACATGAGAAAGGAAGTGATATTCATCTTCAAGGTCATTCAGGGCACACAACTGACTAATGCGGTCTTCCCTTTTAGAACCCATGTAATGCCTAGTTTCAGTAAATTGGTCATGTGAACAACATCGAAATATTGCTGAGGAAACCCGGACTTTTTTAACATTTAAACAATATAAATACTGTTCTGGATATAAATCTTTTTTTTTACCTTTTTGTAATAAAAACATTCGTTTGATTCGGATACGGATTTGTAAATTCACATCTTTTAATCTTTGTGTTAATGATCTAATGAAATAAGATTGACATTGTATATTTTGTTCACACCATACCCAGCAATAACCAACGGAAAACAGCAAGTCTTTTACATCTGTTACCCAATTTAGTTTTCCATTTTGGTCGAGCTTACAATCATATATAACGCTTTTCGGGAACCTATAAGATAGCATATTCAATAATCGTAACCAATATTTAATACCCTAATATATGAGTATATATACATTGGAAATCTGCAACAATCACCATGTTCCATAACACTGGGTGTATTAACCTTAACACCAAGGAATTTCTTGCACGCATAAAAATTTACTTTTTCTATTTTCAAGCTTACTCAGTCCTCATATCTCTGCTCTTTAGAGTAATATCGGACTTATCTTTAAATCAAATATCTTGAAGAACGACTTGTAACTAATATTTCCAAGAGCATAGATTTGTTTTAACACACCAATCAGTACCTTTTGAGCTTGCATCAATGCTTGCTTTGCATGCATAGGCCAAGTAAGATGATTTGTAAAATATACACCTAAATACTTGTAGAAAGAGGTAGTTTCTAGGCGTTCCTCTTTGTCGAAACAGTTTCCTTTTGAGCATATTTCCCTCCATTTAAAAAAAAGAACAACCTTCGTTTTAACTTTGTTTACAGTTAATGTCCATTCATCACAGTACTGTTCTGATTCGTAAATTTGTCTCCGCCAATAAGACTTGAGAATAATATAAATATCGTCGGCAAATTATAGCGAAAACAATTCCGTTATGCAAGGAAGTAACTGAACTCCATTTGTACTCTTATCTTGAATTTCCGTTGCTAGTTCAAAAGTGAGAACAAGAAAGGACATTCCCGTCAATTCCCAGTTATTTTTGACACACACTTTTACATTTTCATAAATATTACATAGACATTTGCTCATTTTACAACTAAGACCATGGGAGTACAGAAGTGACCATAACTTATGTCGTGGTACAGAGTCAAATGCCTTTGCAATGTTAACAAATAAAGCATAGAATTTTCCACCTTTTGTACTCAGATACTTTCGTACGCTTGTTTGTACTATAAACATATTATCAATAGTTGTACAACCTACTCTAAATCCAGCTTGGGCTTCACTTATTTTAACCATAGTATTATCTCAGAACATTCATCTCTTGTGAAGGATAGATGGAAATGTCTCACTGAATATGCTTAAAAAAGTGATACAGCTGTAATTAGTTAAATTATTTATATCACCTTGTTTTGGGACGATAATACCAATCGACTATCAATTTGGAAAGTGCCCATTTTCTAAAAACAAATTAAATAATAATTATTCTAAGTATGGAAGTAGTACACCCGTTGCCTTGTTACATTTAAGATGATGTATGCTATCTAAAATATCATCTCTCGTTATTGAGAGAATACAAAATATCCTCGGTAACATTTAGGTTTGTATCACATCGTGCAGGCTCTGCGTCTGACTGGTCTTCAAGGTCGGGGGATGTTCAAAGAGTTCTAAAGTGCTGGTGCCAATCATTGGTGGTAATATTATTTCTAGATGTTTCCTTTCCATCTATTCTTTTGAGGACAGACCAGAATCCTTTAGAATCATACATACTCTTTTCCAAACACTGTTGTTTTTGTTTATAAAATTCATCTCTCTTTGTCTACAGGTAGCACTATACTTATTTCTAATGCAATTATACTCATCTAGCGAACTCGTGTCTTTATCTTTTCTAAACCTACTTAGAAGTTTGCATCTTTCCCTTTTCAGTCTCTCACACTCAGCGTCAAACTATTTATTAGCAATAACATCTGATTTATTTCATATTACGGATTTGTCGTTTCATATCGGCAGACATAGCTTATACACTACTGTATATAAATAAATATTCTATACTGCTGTCAATATTGTTAAACGCTATTTCGACAGATTTATTAAGTAATTCTTGGACAGTATCTGTCAAAAAGTTTTGGCGAAAGAGTTCTTGTCTGTCATTTCATACAAACTTAAATCTGCTGTCGCACTTGCTTTCGTCTGATAATTGTCGGCGCACGTGAGGCGCGCGTAATTTTTATGAGCGGAAGATGTTCCGATTCAGTGGGTGACGGTATCGTAAAATCACACGTATACTCGAAAAGCGATATAGATAACAACAGACATTTACCGAAATTATTTACAGTTTTGCCAGCTGAGAATCGCTGAACGTTAAACTAATCTGACCTCCGACCTTATCTCACTGATAGTGGCGGTGGGGTAGCCTAGTGGTTAAAGCTCGTCACGCCCAAGATCCGGGTTCGATTCGACACATGGGTACATGGTGTAAACCCCATTTCTGGCGTCCCCAACCGTCACATTGCGGGAATATTCCTCAAGGAGGCGTAAAACCATACTCACCAACTCACTCACTCAAAAACTAACTCACTCACTGATATCGTCCTTCATGGATTTTATGTCCTCTTTAATGGAACTGATATCTTTGGGAAGTTCATCCTCCGTATTCTTGATTTGATTGATAACTGCTGTTTTAAATTCATTTAATTAATCACTTGTTGGCCCTGGGTTCAGTGCTGCATCTCCCGATCTCCCTCTAGCACGTATAATGTCCATATAGCATGAAGAAAAGAATAAAGAACTGGTATGATCAAAACAATTTATTCACCATTTTGAAAATCAAATAACATTTTTCAGTATTACAATTTACAGGTCAATATCGACAAGTTTGAATAACAATATATCTGTATCCATATCACAGTTGTATGAGGTACACCGGTTTATAGGTTATTATATATATAGAACAGTTGTCATGATGATTTGAAACTGAACTATCAGAATTTCAGTATTTATTTAAATACTAAATATTTGTTAGCACGTTCTCACTGGGGTGTACAAAAATACAATTGATACTCCATTGTCAATACTTCACGGGTATGTACAAACTATATTCTTCCATCACTTGTGAATAAATACAGCAGCTTGGCTGTGTTATAGTAAACATGATCAGTTCCATTCACAACAAATATAGTAAATGTATGGAAGAAAAAATGTATCAGTGAAACTGTACCATTGGGTACAAGAAACACTTGCATTTTCACTGGAGTGTTTTAAGTTCACTCGTAGGTTCGACCCGTGAAGATCCGGGGTAAAATAGACTTCAGCAACCCATGGTTGCCGTAAATGGCGACTGTGCTTGTCGTAAGAGGCGACCAACAGAATCGGGTGGTCAGGCTTGCTGACTTGGTTGATACATGTCATCGTATCCCAATTACGTACATCGATGCTCTTTATGTCAATCACTGAAATGTTTTGTCCAGAATATTATTTACAGACCGCTGTCATTGACTGGAGTGCGGCGTTAAACAAAAACAAAATAAAACAAACATGGACATAATTGTGTCTGTGTTAGCCACCTAATGGGGGCGGTCGGGTAGCCTAGTGGTTAAAGCGTTCGCTCGTCACGCAGAAGACCCGGGTTCGATTCCCGACATGGGTACAAAGTGTGAAGCCCATTTCAGGTGTCCCCCGCCGTGATATTGCTGGAATATTGCTAAAAGCGGCGTAAAACCATACTCACACTAGCCAACTAATGATATGAGGCAGTGAATGTTGAGCAAAGCCTTCGATTACCCTAAGTTGAAGTAACCTGTGGAGCAATTGACCATAAGGCCATGCACGGAAGTACTGTCGCTGTAATCTGGGCACTCATTGGTCAGGGCACCTGGTAGTTTCTCCCTGGTTGCCAACAGAAGGACGTACACATGGGTGAAGGTTGGTTGGTTGGTTGGTTGTTGTTTAACGCCGCACTCAGCAATATTCCAGCTATATGACGGTGGTCTGTAAATAATCGAGTCTGGACCAGACAATCCAGTGATTGACAATATGTGCATCGATCCACGCAAATGGGATCGATAACATGCATCAACCAAATCAGCGAGCCTGACCACTCTTTTATGGCAAGCATGGGTTGCTGAAGACGTATTATACCCCGGATCTTCATAGTCTTACCATGTTACATATCCTGGTCAAAACAAGCGTGCTTTTGAATCGTAAATATCATATATTAAATAAAAGTAGATATATCATGGAAGACTGGCAATTTTTATTCCTGATATATGACATGTTTTCTTCGAAAACACACTCGTAATATATATCTGTATTTATCCTAGCTTTAGCCTTGCCGCAAAAACACTCAGAAAAATTAAGGAGCTGCCGTTTGTTCACATTATAATGACTAGCAGAGATAACTCTTATGTTTGGCAAGAGTGAAGTGATTGGTGTTAAATGCAGCTGTCGGAAATATCCCAGCCATATCATATGCTCTGATGGGTAGCCTGGTCTTTAAAGGACAGATTTCCTCCCTGCTGTATGGCACTAACAATAATAATACATTCAGGATGACAATAAAACCAAGCCCAGATAGGATTTGTTCTTAGTATTCTATATATCAGTATCAGATCTATACTGGAATTGGTCTGATTCAACACAATTACTTCCATGATTAAATCCGTAAAGGGAGACAAGGCAGGGGCAAATTGGCAGCCCCAGCATGAGCAGGTAATTCCAACCTGACTTTGTTAATTACATTATGGGATGTACATCCATTTACACATAGTCAATGTCACAGTTTCACTCACTATTTATAATGTCAAGCCCAGCTCCAGTGTGGGCGTCTGACTCGGGAGCACAGACCCCCTTTAAGTACAAGCAATCAAGGAATATGTAAGATAAACAAAACCTTGACTGACAACATGTTTTAGGCTTAAGTGACCTTGACCCTGGGCGTGGCTTTCATCCGGATTCCGTTCTCGGCTCTCATCACCAGGTCCTCCTTCTTCCTCACGGTATGGTTCTTGTCCAACTCCAGGCGGAATCTAAATGAGGTGCAGAGTTGAAGAGTGAGAGAGTGTGTATGGTTTTGCGCCGCTTTTAGCAATATTCCAGCAATATCACGGCGGGGGACACCAGAAATGGGCTTCACACACTGTACCCATGTCGGGAATCGAACCCGGGTCTTCCGCGTGACGAGCGAACGCTTAAACCACTAGGCTACCCGACCGCCCCGCAGAGTTGAAGAAACAGTTGCAGGTGTAGTGAGTCTCATGCGGGTCGTTATTGTCTTTAAGTTGTTTGCTTGTTTGTTTTTGTTTGTTTGTTGTTTAACGCTGCACTCAGCAATATTCCAGCTATATGATGGCGGTCTGTAAATAATCGAATCTGGACCAGACAATCCAGTGATTGGCATCATGAGCATCGATCTACACAACTGAGATACAATGACATTCATCAACCAAGTCAGCGAGCCTGACAACCCGTCCTGTTAGTTGCCCTTATACAAGCATGGGTTGCTGAAGACCGGGATTTCTAACAGGGAATCTTCAGGGGACTTGTCTTTAAGTGTAAAGGTAGACTGTTATGTTAGTGAGTCAATGGGATATAAGCAGTTCAGAAATTGTGAAATATAATATTGTCATGTGTGAGTAATATTAGCTGGAATACCTATTTGGAAACACCAAATACCTGCAAGCTTCTAACAGGTCTGAGACATTCAACAGGGACAAAATCTGGAGATTTGTGAGTGCAGTAATTCCAGGAATTGTGACTTATAGCTGCTGCCACTTACTCCCCCCATTGTATTGCCTTTTGTATTGTAAACCTAATACAGTGTGTTTGAATATAATTTGTTGATTATTCATTGGTCTTGTGTGGTCATTTTCTGTTTAACAATTTAGTTCTGTGGGGTTTACCTGCTTTTCAATATGGAAAATCACTTCATAACAGAACTAGTGAAATTGTTTCTAATTGAGAGTGGATGGGGGTGTACTTTGAGTATGGGTGGGGGTGTATTTGAGAGTGGGTGGGGGTGTATTTTAAAAGTGTGGGTAGGGTGTATTTTGTGTGGGTGTATTTTGAGAGTGGGTTGGGGTATTTTGAGAGAGGGTGGGGATGTATTTTGAGAGTGGATGGGGGGCGTATTTTAAAAGTGTGGGTGGGGGTGTATTTTGTGGCGGTGTATTTTGAGAGTGGGTTTGACTGTTTTTTGTTGGGGTGTATTTTGAGAGTTGGTTGGGGTGTATTTTGAGAAAGGGTAGGTGTGTATTTCGAGAGTGGGTAGGCGTGTGTAGTGAGTGAGTTGGGCTTAATGCTGCTTTTAACATTATTCCAGTTATATCACGGCATGCCAGCTTAATGTGGGTCGAAAGCACGAAGTGATGAAACATAATTGGGCGAACCGGGATTCGAACCCACAATCATAGGTTTCTGGCATGCCCAAGGGGACGCAACTCTGTACAGCGAATTGCGGCGCCTTAGACGACTGGGGCACCCGTGTATTTTGAGAGTGGTAGGTGTATTTTGTGGGGGTGTATTTTGAGTGTTGGTTGAGGTGTATTTTGAGAGTGGGTGTGGATGCATATTGTGTGAAGATGGGGTTGTATTTTGAGAGAGGGTAAGGGGGTGTATTTGAGAGTGGGTGGGGGTGTATTTTGAGAATGGGTGGGGGTGTATTTTGAGAGTGGGTGGGGGTGTAAGTTGAGATGAAATGGAGTTTAACGTCGCGTCCAAGATTATTGCACTTATATAGCGATGTGCATACAAGTGTGTGTGTGTGGCTGCTTGTACTAGTCCGGACTGATGCCGCAGTTTTACATGAATAACCCACTCAGACACAGTATTCTGACTCTGAGCCGACCATTCCTTGTTTCAGCCCCTTAATGTCGAGCGCCAGACAGGGTAACAACAAGTACCATCTTTTAACGTCTTTTTGTATGACGCGCCTGGGGATCGAACCCCGGACCTCCCGCTTTCTGGGCGGACGCTCTACCACTAGACCACGGAGGCGGTCCCGGGTGGGGTTGTACTTTGAGAGGGGTGGGGGATGTATCTTGAGCGTAGGTAGGGGTGTATTTTGAGAGAGGTTGGGGTGCATGGTTGGGGGTGTATTTAGAGAGTGAGGGGTGTATTTTGAGGGTGGGTGGGGGTGTATTTGAGAGAAATGAGGAGGGGCAGAGATGCATTTTGAGATGTTGTGGTGGTGTATTTTGAGAGGGGATTGAGATGTATTTTGTGGGAGGGATGCTGTGTGCCACTGGGGTCCATGTGTTCTCTGATCCAGTAGCTCTACTCACCTGTGTATCACCCTAGCAAGGGCAATCTTCAGCTCATGCATGGCAAAGTTCTGGCCGATACAGTTCCTGAAACACACAACATGGTCAGCTCCAGGCTTGGCAGTCTTGTCAGACATTTCATTCTGTTGTGATGTAAACAATCCAAAGTTTCTTCTGTTCTTCATATGATTAGCATCCTTTTTATTTATGCTAACATGGCTACGGCCACAATAAATAGATTCCTTAGATTAATTGAAAAGAAATGTTGGGCAGAAGATTAAATATTATTGTTTAAAGAAACTGCTCAAGGCATCTGATGGGTTCGATTGACAGATGCAGAACTGAAGCTAGAAACATAATTCGATCATCAAAAACTCTCAGACTGTTTCCACTGATGTACCAATGAGATTGGCCATATCTTTCTTAACACGGAATAACAATCAGTCAAAAAATGAAAAAAGCTGTATTTTTTCAGAAAGTCCAATATTGAAATCCAACTTTGCACTGCTCCTCTCCAATAGGTATAAAACGTGTTCACCAAGTTTAAAAAGAATCTTCGTAGTAGTTTTCAAGGTAGAGGTCACAAACAAAATGTCCCCAGGACAGACGGACGGTATTCCTTTTAGGTCAGGGTTATAACAATAATAAGAATATTACAATCAGTCTTCAACTGTTGAACTGTGAAGTAATCGTTTTGAAGCAAACACATAAATAGCGACAGTAAATCAACATTTCCTAGTTAACAAAATCTGGTCTACCTTGGCCCAGCGGAGAAAGGTACGAAGCAGTAGGGGTCTCGACTCTCAACATTTTCAGGTGCAAACCTCTCTGGCTGGAACTCCTGGGAAAGATAGCCAACATTTCTCAACAATTCAGGATTAAAAAAGGGTGTTACTGTTCATGTGGTAACATACCCTCACATAGACAGTTAGCGACCTCCCTTTGGGTGTGTTGTGTAAGACAGTTAGCGACCTCCCTTTCGGTGCGTAGTGTAAGACAGTTAGCGACCTCCCTTTGGGTGCGTAGTGTAAGACAGTTAGCGACCTCCCTTTGGGTGTGATGTGTTAGCCAGTTAGCGACCTCCCTTTGGGTGTGTTGTGTAAGACAGTTAGCGACCTCCCTTTCGGTGCGTAGTGTAAGACAGTTAGCGACCTCCATTTGGGTGTGTTGTGTAAGACAGTTAGCGACCTCCCTTTGGGTGTGTTGTGTAAGACAGTTAGCGACCTCCCTTTCGGTGCGTAGTGTAAGACAGTTAGCGACCTCCATTTGGGTGTGTTGTGTAAGACAGTTAGCGACCTCCATTTGGGTGTTTTGTGTTAGACAATAAGAGACCTCCCTTTGGGTGTGTTGTGTTAGACAGTTAGCGACCTCCCTTTGGGTGCGTAGTGTAAGACAGTTAGCGACCTCCATTTGGGTGTTTTGTGTTAGACAATAAGCGACCTCCCTTTGGGTGTGTTGTGTTAGACAATTAGCGACCTCCCTTTGGGTGAGTTGTGTTAGACAGTTAGCAACCTCCATTTGGGTGTGTTGTGTAAGACAGTTAGCAACCTCCCTTGGATTAAAGTGCAAGCTGAAGCCAAGGATGGAGAATCCCATAGCAGCCAGGGAGTTTCACTAACCCAATCTCATTAAAAACAGATGTAAGTTCTCGCTATCGCTAAAACAAGATCTGAGGACATCCCATTTCGGGTCAGAAGGACCTTTCATCCGACCAATCAAAGCGTTGCTTACCAGATCATGAAAGTGACAGTCGGAATGAGTTTTCTACTTATGCAACCTCAAAAAGCATTACGGCCTGTACGGCTGATTCCCGTCAAAATTATCGTCTATCTCTCGCCTCTGTGGGATAAACATTTGAACGGAGGAGGCATTGAACAGTATGTGTGAATCACTGTCATAAATCTCAACCATATATTAGACATTCTGGAATGTTCGTTTGTTCAGTTTTCCAGATTTTAATCGAGAACTGTGTCAACATATTTTTCAAGCGTTGTCTAAAATGGAAGTCGCCAACTTGAAACGAGTGCCGTAAAGCTCTAGAAATTTGCTTTCTAATTGGCTGATGTTGACATCTTGTTAGTCATTTCAGTAGTCAGTCAAAGTTCGCGAAAGGTCGTTCTGATGCGACCTGTAATGGGATGTCTTCAGATCTTTGTTTAGCGACAGCGAGAACTAAGATCTGATTTTAATGAGATTGGTCGCCAACCTCTACAAGTCAGCATGCTTATCAATAATCTCTGTATCACGGACTTGACTCTACTGAAGGATACACACCAGCGAGTTGGGCCAGACTGTAGGGTTATGGTGCAGGTTGTAGATGACTACACTGACGATAGTCCCCTTGGGCACCTCCTGGCCATCAACATGCATGTCCTGGGTTATCTCCCTTTGTATGAAGGGCACCGGAGTGTGAAGTCGGAGACTCTCCTTCAGACACATTGTCAGGAAGGGCAGCTGTGGTAGATCCTCCCTAGAAGGCAACACTGAGATTATGAGTAATTGGGAAAGTATAATTCAAACTGGGAATTGTACTGTCACTTGCAGACTGGGGGCTAAATATCGGCCTCCGAGCAGGTTCAGATACATCCCCAGAGAAAACATGTCTCCATGGTTTCAGTGGAGTAGAGAGGGAAAGTCAATCTGTTGGCCTTTTGAATCAGTAAACACCGAAAAAAAATTTAAAATTTTTAAAGGGACAGTACGTCGACAGTTCTGTGTGTTTCTAACTCATGGATGAAACAATTTCCGATTGTGACTTGCCAAAACAATAGAGCTCCGTATAGCCAAGCCAGCAACGCAAGTGCTGTGCTTGATACACTGGCTTCATTAATGTTTTTTTAGAGGCAAATAAGAGAGAAACCTTGTTTGTTTCTCTAAGGGATGAGTTACAAAATACTAATTGACTGTTTGATTAGATTAGAAGTGAAAGTTTATCAAAGCCTAGAGTACAATATAAATATGCCGCGGTCTTATGAGTCAACGTGATGTTTAACGTCCACAGAAACACCATTTGGTATTTATGGCAACGAGAGACCATCCTCGGAGTGGCAGGCCACGGGTAACCAATAATCGACAAGACAACTGGATTCGAACAACACAGCTTAAAAATCGATTCCAGCCCTCAACAGGGACTGCAAGAAGCATCCCTGGCCTTCGACGAATATCTTCACAAAGCGTACGTTGTCGCCTCAGATGTGCAGGGATTGTCGCCAGACGTCCCATTTTGAAAGGAAACCACCGTCAAGCACGTCTACAGTGGTGCAGACAACGTCTACACTGGACGGCCATGCAATGGGGACAAGTTCTATTCACTGACGAGTCTCGTTTTCACCTCAGCCACAGCGATGAACGGTTTCGAGTTTACCGACGTCGAGGTGAACGTTACGTCAATCATTGTGTCATGGAAGAAGATTGGTTCGGGGGTGGCAGCGTTATGGTATGGGGTGGGATTACAGCAAGACAGATGACCCGTTTGATAGTGGTAGAGGGAAATCTCAATGGACAGGGCTACTGCGACGAGATCATCGTCCCTGTTGTTCTACCGTTTTTGCGTCGTCATGGCCCAGGCATTACCTTTCAACATGACAACGCCCGGCCTCATATTGCTCGACTTGTTCAGGATTCTCTTAAACAAAACAGCGTGAATGTCATCCCCTCGCTCCCCTGATCTCTCACCAATGGAGCACATGTGGGATGAGATGGATCGGCACCTTCGACGTCAACCACGTGCTCCACAGACACTCCAGGAACTTGGAAACATGCTCGAGCAGATGTGGACAGATATCCCACAGGTCTGTGCGACGCCTGGTCCATTCCATGAGACAAAGATGTGTTGCTTGCATCGCAACCAGAGGTGGACTCACACGCTATTGATTTGTAAATTGACATTTTGGCATGTTCATGTTTTTTTATGAAATCACGCATTTTCTGAAGTCAGTATGGCAAATTAAACCATTTGAACACTTACAGGAGTCTTTTATCTGTTGCAAACCGAAATTGTTTCAGATTTGGTAAAAAACATAACTTTGCATTAAATCTTATTCAATGTCACAGGAACTTTTGTTGTTCAGTATATAAAGCTATATTGTCATGCACCTCACTCTCACAGTAGTACGTCTTCATAATTATACAAAACAATATGAAGAGGGCACCGAAAGGCTTGCATCAGGCCTGACTGTACATATTTCAGAATAAGTGCATTTGTTTACAAACAAAAGAAAAGTCTGGTCATGTGATAAGCCTACACCACTGGAGCAGAACATTCTGTCACGGAATAAGGCGAGCAGAGCTGAGTAACAGTCGACATCCTGTCCCTTTAAATCAAACTGTCAAAGATACGGCAAAAAATGAACATATTCCAGTTTTTGCAGATTTCATGAAAATAATACAGTGTTCTAGAAAATGCTCGAAAAAAATAATTAGACTTCAGACTGTTGAAAAAAGAAAAAAGACATTTTCTGCAAAAGTAAATAAATTGCTGTGGATGTTAAAACAATATTATATTTAGTCTCATAGTTATAAATTAAAAAATGTCTGGTTTTACAGATGTAGCTAAAAAAAAAATCCAGTCTCCATAAAAAATGACACAAATTATCCACTGGTTGGTCCCTCACTGCAATGTTCTCCCCATATGTGGTTTACATATTTCAATGAGTTAACCAATATTACTGTATTCGACCTAATAAGCGCCCAGGGCGCTCTCAAAATTAGAAATAGGGGGCTCTTATTTGAATATTATTTTGGTGAAAAAGACAGAGTTGAAAGATAAATTTCGTTGTTTATGCTGACAGCCTGAACTGTTTATATACGAGAGATACATTTTTCCAGAATTTAAATGCCCTAAATTAAGGGTGCATATAACACACGTACGTATTATACGCGAATAAATGAGTGTTGTGTACATTGATCAATCGGAAGGGGTTCTAATTGGTATTGTTCACTAGCCAATATATTAGCAAATATCGCCGTGGGCGCTTATTAGAGCGGGGCACTTATTACGTCGATTACGGTAACTGTACTTGCATACAGTGAAACTGGGAATGATATCTCTATATGCTTCCTCAGTAAAGTGTGATTTCATGCTCTCACTACAGATCACACACATCCCTGATTGGCTCAGAGGTCTAGTTTCTACCAGCTACACATACATCTCGATATCGGTGTTTTGCTTGCGGGACATGAGGTCGTCGACCTCTCTGTAGACTGCCTCCTGGCACTCCTGGTGTTCGGCTAGTGAGTACAGTGCCCAGGAGAGGGCGCTAGCGGTGGTGTCGTGACCTGACAATATACATCGTGGCGGTTAGGTTGCAAAGCATCAATAATTCCAAGCTATTTTAACATTGATCTAGCAAAGTGAGTGAGTGAGTATGGTTTTACGCCGCTTTTAGCAATATTCCAGCAATATCACGGCGGGGGACTTGAGAAACAGGCTTCACACATTGTACCCATGTCGGGAATCGAACCCGGGTCTTCGGCGTGACGAGCTACCCGACCCCCCAATCTAGCAAAGAGCAGTTTAACGCCACAGGACTTGTGAATCCTTTGTTCATCAGACTGTTGTTGATGAAGACAAAGTTGTCTTACGCATTTCAACTTCTGAAATACTCTCAATGTGACACTTCCTTACATATCATAGAGAGAATATTATACGATCCTGTGTGTCATACTGATTTAAGTGATTTTACAAAATGAGAATTCTTGTATTTCCCGAGCAAGAAATAATGTCAATTTTTATATCAGAGTGTATATGCAGTTTGTTGTTACAAGACTGATACCATGCATAACAAGCCTGAAATACTCATATCCCCCGCCAATATGACATGTCCTGTTGAGTGGAGCACTACCACCATTTCCAGTCAAAGTCAAAGTCATTGCCATGGAAACTCAAAAATTAATTTTTTCCAAAATCCCAAACTATCAAAAGGCACCAGTTCACCACTTGACCTATGTATGTGCCAAGTTTGGTTAAGATATCTCTCATGGCTTTTGAGTTCCGATCCGGAAACGAAATGTTAAGGAATGGCGGACAGACATTCCTATATCCCCCTTCCAATCCATGACTGGGGATAATAACCATATTACAGTATGTTAATGCAGTGTATCAGTATGATACCACATCATGATGTGTCTGTATTGTAACAACACAACTACTACATTTCCGCACCCTGTCATCACTGTTACTACAGCTTCTCAAACATCCCTTAAAGAGATTGTTATCGAGGTGCCAACTGCAGAATCTTATTTTCTGTAGTAATTCAATGACAACAAATTTGCTAAAATAATGCTCAATTTCCTTAAACTTTCTCCTGGATGACAAAGCCATTTCATAATTATTGTCCAAGATGCATAGTCCATATGGCATCACAGTGCTTCGTTGTCAAGAAAAAAAACGATATGATGTTGTCCTTTGTTCATGATTACATGACGTCATCTGAACAACAGCATGTCTTCAGTGAAGTTTCTCTGTCAGGCTGACATTGTATACATCTTTTCTTTTACATCAGCTGTTTTTAAACGTTTGAGTTTTTCATTTCATGCATGCGTTTCTGTACGCAAGTTAATTGAAAGTAATTAGGTTTTGAATATTTGCTTATCTGCAGCTCTGGATTAACCTCCTAAAAATATTAATGAGTCATACATAGAATAACCTACTTAAAATATTAATGAGTTATACATAGATTAACCTCCTAAAAATATTAATGAGTTATACATAGAATAATCTCCTAAAAATATTAGTTATACATAGAATAACCGACTGAAAACTACGAATTACGGATTAACTGTCCCTCGTTAATGAATGCTGTAAGTCCCTCACCAAAGACTAGGGAATAACACCATTCATTAACTTCGGACATAAAAGCCGTAATCCCTTGTAGCTCGTTGGTTATTTCCTACTTGTATTGCGACCTCATAATCAAAATATATAAAACATTGCAAAGTCGTTTACAGCACGAGCTGCTGCTGTAGGCAAAGTGACTTCACCTTCAAACAGGAAGGTGTCCGTCTCATCGCGGATCTCCTGTGGGGTCAGCCCCTCCCCATCATCGTCCCTGGCAGTCAGCAGGAGGTCCAGGAAGTCCATGCAGCGCCGCCTCTTGACCACATCCTGCTCCACCGAGTGGGACAGCTGACAATGTATAGATATACAGTGAGTGACTGAGTGTGTTTGGTTTTACGCCGCTCTTAGCAATATCAATATCTCAATATCACGGTGGGGGAGACACATTGTATCTATGTGGGAAATTGAACCCGGGTCTTCGGCGTCAGTCAGTCAATATTGTCCCAACTGAAAATTGGTTTTCAGATAGTATACATAACTACATATAGGCAAAAGGACAATTGCCAACACATGATTTTCAATGTTAGTGATCGCCTTTCACAGCAATCCATCGGTACCCCTTCTTGAGTAATTGCCCTTTGTCAAAGGGGAGCTACTCTAGTCTATGACGAGTCATGTATGCTCAGAGTGTGCGTGACCTGTCATAATGTTACAAGATGTCCCATACAGCGACAAAATACATTTACAGGCTTAGTACGGGACACGGGTACACAGATTGGTTAAGAAGTCGGTCAGAGTGTGCTTTTGTGAAGAGGGACGTAAATACGGCAAAGTTATTCCTCTCAATAATGAATTAAAACAGAAATACAAAAATATTAAAAGGCCACTGCACTACAAATTCAAATCTTTACGAGGAAAAACAGAACTTCAAAACAAAACATTGTCAATCTACATTGGTCAAACGGTTTTCAGTAAAACTGTGAAAGGTTTCTCCAAATCTCACAAAGAAGATCCAATAAATATAATTCCAAAGATTTACTTTTGACAATAACTTTATGAAATGCATTGTAGAGTATCTGGCCACCGATAACACCTTATGGAGAACCCTTTCCCCAACAGAAGTAAACCGCCACAAATAAATATTTAATAATAAACATTGTGAACTTTTAACTGACTCAGCAAATATTTTCCCTGTTAAACAGACTCAACATTATGCCAAAGAAATTGAAATACTCAAAAACATTGATATATTTTCATTGCAAACTAGAGCCAGCAACAAACGCGTGTAATAATGAATGGCCATATTGTAAATGAAATGGTCAAAGTACCAAGGCTCTCCTCCTGTTTTCAATGATGTCCTCCGCCACGGTGTGGACCAGGTCACAACACTTCCGGAACTGGCGGCCGGCAGGTGTCAGCATGTACACCCACTTATTGTGCAGCCATGGCTTGCTGAAACACCACCAGCAGTCAGTGTACACACCACTAGAAGTCAGTCTACACACACCACACACCACCAGAAGTCAGTGTACACACCACCAGAAGTCAGTCTACACACACCACCAGAAGTCAGTCTACACACACCACACACCACCAGAAGTCAGTCTACACACCACCAGCAGTCACTGTACACACCACCACGAGTCAGTCTACACACCACCAGCAGTCAGTCTACACACACCACACACCACCAGCAGTCAGTCTACACACCACCAGCAGTCAGTGTACACACCACCAGCAGTCAGTGTACACACCACCACCAGTCAGTGTACACACCACCAGGAGTCAGTCTACACACACCACACACCACCAGCACACCACCAGCAGTCACTGTACACACCACCAGCAGTCAGTGTACACACCACCACCAGTCAGTCTACACACCACACACCACCAGGAGTCAGTCTACACACACCACACACCACCAGCACACCACCAGCAGTCACTGTACACACCACCAGCAGTCAGTGTACACATCACCACGAGTCAGTCTACACACCACCAGCAGTCAGTGTACACACCACCACGAGTCAGTGTACACACCACCAGCAGTCAGTGTACACACCACCACGAGTCAGTCTACACACCACCACGAGTCAGTCTACACACCACCAGCAGTCAGTGTACACACACCACACACCACCACGAGTCAGTCTACACACACCACACACCACCAGCAGTCAGTGTACACACCACCAGCAGTCAGTGTACACATCACCACGAGTCAGTCTACACACACCACACACCACCAGCAGTCAGTGTACACACCACCAGCAGTCAGTGTACACATCACCACGAGTCAGTCTACACACACCACACACCACCAGGAGTCAGTCTACACACCACCAGCAGTCAGTGTACACACCACCAGCAGTCACTGTACACACCACACACCACCAGAAGTCACTGTACACACCACCAGAAGTCACTGTACACACCACCAGCAGTCACTGTACACACCACCAGCAGTCACTGTACACACCACCACCAGTCAGTCTACACACACCACACACCACCAGGAGTCAGTCTACACACACCACACACCACCAGAAGTCAGTCTACACACCACCAGCAGTCACTGTACACACCACCACCAGTCAGTGTACACACCACCAGCAGTCAGTGTACACACACCACACACCACCAGAAGTCAGTCTACACACCACCAGGAGTCAGTCTACACACACCACACACCACCAGAAGTCAGTCTACACACCACCAGCAGTCACTGTACACACCACCAGCAGTCAGTGTACACACCACCACCAGTCAGTCTACACACCACCACGAGTCAGTCTACACACCACCAGCAGTCACTGTACACACCACCAGCAGTCAGTGTACACACCACCACCAGTCAGTCTACACACCACACACCACCAGGAGTCAGTCTACACACACCACACACCACCAGAAGTCAGTCTACACACCACCAGCAGTCACTGTACACACCACCAGCAGTCAGTGTACACACCACCAGCAGTCAGTGTACACATCACCACGAGTCAGTCTACACACCACACACCACCAGGAGTCACTGTACACACCACCAGCAGTCAGTGTACTCACCACCACCAGTCAGTCTACAAACCACACACCACCAGGAGTCAGTCTACACACACCACACACCACCAGCAGTCACTGTACACACCACCAGCAGTCAGTGTACACATCACCACGAGTCAGTCTACACACCACCAGCAGTCAGTGTACACACCACCACGAGTCAGTGTACACACCACCAGCAGTCAGTGTACACACCACCACGAGTCAGTCTACACACCACCACGAGTCAGTCTACACACCACCAGCAGTCAGTGTACACACACCACACACCACCACGAGTCAGTCTACACACACCACACACCACCAGCAGTCAGTGTACACACCACCAGCAGTCAGTGTACACATCACCACGAGTCAGTCTACACACACCACACACCACCAGGAGTCAGTCTACACACCACCAGCAGTCAGTGTACACACCACCAGCAGTCACTGTACACACCACACACCACCAGAAGTCACTGTACACACCACCAGCAGTCACTGTACACACCACCAGCAGTCACTGTACACACCACCACCAGTCACTGTACACACCACCACCAGTCAGTCTACACACACCACACACCACCAGGAGTCAGTCTACACACACCACACACCACCAGAAGTCAGTCTACACACCACCAGCAGTCACTGTACACACCACCACCAGTCAGTGTACACACCACCAGCAGTCAGTGTACACACCACCAGCAGTCAGTGTACACACCACCACCAGTCAGTCTACACACCACCACGAGTCAGTCTACACACCACCACCAGTCAGTCTACACACCACACACCACCAGGAGTCAGTCTACACACACCACACACCACCAGCAGTCAGTCTACACACCACCAGCAGTCACTGTACACACCACCAGCAGTCAGTGTACACACCACCACCAGTCAGTCTACACACCACCAGAAGTCAGTCTACACACCACCAGGAGTCAGTCTACACACACCACACACCACCAGAAGTCAGTCTACACACCACCAGCAGTCACTGTACACACCACCAGCAGTCAGTGTACACACCACCACCAGTCAGTCTACACACCACCACGAGTCAGTCTACACACCACCAGCAGTCACTGTACACACCACCACCAGTCAGTGTACACACCACCACCAGTCAGTCTACACACCACACACCACCAGGAGTCAGTCTACACACACCACACACCACCAGAAGTCAGTCTACACACCACCAGCAGTCACTGTACACACCACCAGCAGTCAGTGTACACACCACCAGCAGTCAGTGTACACATCACCACGAGTCAGTCTACACACCACACACCACCAGGAGTCAGTCTACACACCACCAGCAGTCAGTGTACACACCACACACCACCAGTCAGTCTACACACCACCAGCAGTCAGTCTACACACACCACACACCACCAGCAGTCACTGTACACACCACCAGCAGTCACTGTACACACCACCAGCAGTCAGTGTACACACCACCACCAGTCAGTCTACACACCACACACCACCAGGAGTCAGTCTACACGGCTTGCTGAAACACCACCAGCAGTCAGTGTACACACCACTAGAAGTCAGTCTACACCGACCACACCACCAGAAGTCAGTCTACACACACCACCAGGAGTCAGTCTACACCGACCACACCACCAAAAGTCAATCTACACACACAACCAGGAGTCAGTCTACACCGACCACACCACCAGAAGTAAGTCTACACACACAACCAGAAGTCAGTCTACACCGACAACACCACCAGAAATCAGTCTACACACACCACCAGAAGTCAGTCTACACCGACAACACCACCAGAAGTCAGTGTACACACCACCAGCAGTCAGTGTACACACCACCAGCTGTCAGCCTACACACCACCAGCTGTCAGTCTACACACACCACATATCACCAGAAGTCAGTCTACACACCACCAGAAGTCAGTCTACACACACCACCAGAAGTCAATCTACACACACCACCAGAAGTCAGTCTACACACACCACCAGAAGTCAATCTACACACACCACCAGAAGTCAATCTACACACACCACCAGAAGACAATCTACACTCACCACCAGAAGTCAATCTACACACACCACAACAAGTTAATCCACAACATTGCTTGCTGAAACTATGTATATCAGTTACAGTGTATTCTCTTCACAAACTTGGGGGGGTTGAATCCCAGATGGTCCTGATTATTTTACCATGTTTGTCAGCACTTATCTGTGCTAATTGGTTTACATATACTGACATGTAGTTCTACCAAACGTGAATCACATCTGTTGACAGTTAATGCACAAATGGGGGGCACGGGTGGCCCAGTAGTCTGAGGTGCCGCGATTCGCTGTGCACTTTAAAAATAACTAATTTTAAAAAATGGCACCCACCTTACATTCTTTGAACAATTATGTACACGATACACATGAACAATTATGTACACGATACACATGAACAATTATGTACACGATACACATGAACAATTATGTACACGATACACATGAACAATTATGTACACGATACACATGAACAATTATGTACACGATACACATGAACAATTATGTACACGATACACATGAACAATTATGTACACGATACACATGAACAATTATGTACACGATACACATGAACATGTCACTCACAAAAATCTGTCTGTGGCCAGGTGGGACAGTGTGTTCACTGCGTTCACATAGGGATGATTCGTTCTGAAGTGGAAAATCACACAATACAAGTTATATATGGAAATAAATACTGTAAATAGGTAGATATATAATTTTAAGCACTAAACTATTCATCAAATATGTTAGAAGTGGAACTTTACTCTAAGTACTAAACATATCTTTTGGGTATATATGATGTAACTTCAAGCGCAATTTGCAGTAAAATAAGTTGATAATGAACACGCTTATTGCCAACTGACGGATATAACAAACTTATGTTTTGGTCCTGGGCATTTGCTGTATATATGCTGTATATATGCTTATAATGAACAACGGTTATAACACTCTCAAATTTGTGGTCTCTTTGTGTTTGTTATAAGTGTAGTTTACTGTAATAGTAGCAGTATTTAAATACCCGCCTGACCGACAGTCCGAAGCGGTCCAATTTGCTGATGGACAGTCAGTTTTGAAAAGTTGCACGCCCAATGGTTGGGAGTTTAGTTACTAAGATGACAATCCACCAGTTTATTGTTATTTTCCAAGAACTCACATCACACAATACTATTCTTGTTTAACCTTTTGTTACTTTTGTTGTTAATCCTGAAAAATTCTGGCAACATTTTGTCTGGTCTGGTAACTTTGCAATGCTGCGAGTCCGGTTGTCTGACTGATATTTGGGGGAATTTATACACTGATATTAGAATATATATCTGAACATTCACAATCCACATTGAACTCACTCAATGTTGTGAACACCCATGACACCTACCCAATACTGTGAACACCCATAACACCTACCCGATGTTCTGACAGTCTGTGTCATAAGAGAAGGCACATTTCAAGATGACGTCCAGCGTGAACAGACTGACCTCCGTGAATACTTCAAAATACTTGTCCTGCTCTGAGAATCTTTGTATCTTGCTCTGTACAACAGATGATTACGCTGTTAGTGGTCAGTGTGGGATGGTTAACAGAGTTTGAAAAAACAATGTATGAAAATTAGAATTCAGTGGTCCAGCTAATCTTTCAAAATGAGGAGTTCATACACCCAAAGTCTGCAGTGGACAGTGAGCGAGCGAGCGAGTGAGTGGGTGGGTGGGTGGGTGGGTGGGTGGGTGGGTGAGTGAGTGAGTGAGTGGGTGGGTGGGTGAGTGAGTGAGTGAGTGAGTGGGTGGGTGGGTGGGTGGGTGGGTGGGTGGGTGAGTGAGTGCGTGGGTGGGTGGGTGGGTGAGTGAGTGAGTGAGTGGGTGGGTGGTTGGGTGGGTGAGTGAGTGAGTGCTTGGGTGGCGAGTGAGTGAGTGAGTGAGTTAGTGCTTGGGTGGTGAGTGAGTGACCAAGTGAGTGACCAAGTGAGTGACCAAGTGAGTGAGTATTGTGCTGCCTGATGTGTAAGTATTCCAGTTATATTCCCAGCCTATCAGCTCAACGTGATGCCGGTCTAAGATATTTACCACTTCAGTTAAATGCAGTGCCAGGATGGATAAATCCTGAGGAGTACAACTTGAAACTATTCTTACTATTCTATTAAGAAGCATCACTCCAGTAAAGGAAAACATCTTTATTATAAATAACAACAATAATTTATGTGAAAAGGCCAAACAATACAATGTGTGTTTTAAGTTACAGTCCATCCAAAACGAGGCACGACAGGCAGTTTTTTGGTTTGTGTTTAAATCTGCAAATACATGTATAACTTGGGGCCTTAACTATGCACTGTAGGGAGAAGTACTGTGAAGCTATCCAGTAGGAAGAACAAGCCTGTCTCTCTTTACTTGATACAGGGGCGGTTGGGTAGCCTAGTGGTTAAAGCGTTGGCTCATCACGCCGAAGACCTGGGTTCGATTCCCGACATGGGTACAATGTGTGAAGCCCATTTCTGGTGTCCCCCGCCGTGATATTGCTGGAATATTGCTAAAAGCGGCGTAAAACCATACTCGCTCGCTCTACTTGATACACTTCTAAACCATAACCCACTCCAGGGGTAGACACTGTTGGTCAAATTGGGTTGGCTTGTGTCCTCCCAGGGAGCTGAGAATGAAAATCAATGAAAACTGATCCATTGATCGGGGGAATACTAACGTGGCACCATGAGAACTAACTCCGTGAATGGAATTCTGCACATTATAAACGGACTTATTCCTATTTAGATGTTAGTTTGTTTTCATAAATATTCCAATCATAATAACATGTATAATATGTGTAGGCAACGACAATCAGCAGCCTTTTTGTCATCAGGGATTTCCAAATTTAATATCAATCAACGACAACAGGACATCTTGTCCTGATCTTGTACTCTTAGCACTGTTTTAAACTAATTTGTCAGGAAAGATTTGGATATTTTCATATTTGTCTTAGTATTATTCTGAAATGTTAGTCGACAAGAGATTCTTCCATTATTTCTCAGTCTGATTTGTTTATATGAGCAGCTTTTTTGCACACTGGTATCTTTTGATGTGAAAAGATTGCTTCTTTTATGAATACTGGTATGTTGAAGAATTTTACTGATCTATATTTAGCCAATACCTGTGTTGGGAATGCACTGTTCAATATTCCATATAGGCAGGAAACAATTTCACTTTGGATATCAAATCATCTTAAAAAAGAACAAGTATTTGTCACAGAGTGACGAAATATCCCCCGCCATATACACCATAGTACCAAATATGAAGACAATCCAGCGATTAGTTCTTGAGATATTGTGGCAACACCGTTTTCCAACTCCAAAAACAGATTTGCCTGCTGTGACCTTGAAAATGGGGTCAAGGTCACCAAAACCGACTAGTGTCTGCGGTGTCTGTATATACACCATAGTTCCAAATATGAAGACAATCGAGAGGTTTAGTTCTTGAGATATCGCGGCAACACCGTTTTCCAACTCTAAAAGCAGATTTGCCTGCTGTGACCTTGAAAATGGGATCAAGGTCACCAAAACCGACTGGTGTCTGCGGAGTCTGTATATACACTATAGTTCCAAATATGAAGACAATCCAGTGTTTAGTTCTTGAGATATCGCGGCAACACCGTTTTCCAACTCCAAAAGCAGATTTGCCTGCTGTGACCTTGAAAATGGGGTCAAGGTCACCAAAACCGACTGGTGTCTGCGGTGTCTGTATATACACCATAGTTCCAAATATGAAGACAATCCAGTGTTTAGTTCTTGAGATATCGCGGCAACACCGTTTTCCAACTCTAAAAGCAGATTTGTCTGCTGTGACCTTGAAAATGGGATCAAGGTCACCAAAACCGACTGGTGTCTGCGGAGTCTGTATATACACCATAGTTCCAAATATGAAGACAATCCAGTGTTTAGTTCTTGAGATATCGCGGCAACACCGTTTTCCAACTCTAAAAGCAGATTTGTCTGCTGTGACCTTGAAAATGGGATCAAGGTCACCAAAACCGACTGGTGTCTGCGGTGTCTGTATATACACCATAGTTCCAAATATGAAGACAATCGAGAGGTTTAGTTCTTGAGATATCGCGGCAACACCGTTTTCCAACTCTAAAAGCAGATTTGCCTGCTGTGACCTTGAAAATGGGATCAAGGTCACCAAAACCGACTGGTGTCTGCGGAGTCTGTATATACACCATAGTTCCAAATATGAAGACAATCCAGTGTTTAGTTCTTGAGATATCGCGGCAACAAACAGGTGGGACGTACGGACGGACGGACGGACGTACGAACGGACGGACGGACGTACGGACGGTCGTGAATACTATATCCCCCGCTTCGCGCTTTCGCGCGGCGGGGGATAATAATAATATGAAACAGGAATGTCAGCACATTGTTGGGAAGTAATATGTTATTTTCTTATTACTAACAAATATACAATCTTTTGTTCCTTATTACCATCCTTGTGGGGTTCTGGGAGAGAATTGATCCCCTGAAACATATGCTAGGCAGCCAATTGGACTGAGTGACTCAGGCTTAGTGACTTGGATGAGAGCATGTCATCCTAGCCCGACAGTGTTACACCGGGATGCTTACAACATCATCACTGGATTGTCTGGTCCAGACTTGATTATTTACAGTCAGACGTCACATAGCTGGGATTTTTCTCATTTCATTGTTAAACAACAAACAACTTTAATTGAATACCAGAAGCAAGACAATCTTTTCATTCCTTATTGCCATCCCCATCATATTCTGGGATAGATTTGGTCCTCAGCAACCTATGCTGGTTATATTAGGCAACCAATTGGACTTGGTGATCAGCCTCAGTGACTTCGGGAGATGCTCATAAAACACTCACTGGATTGTCTGGTCCAGACTTGGTTATTTACAGACCACCGTCATTAAACTGGTATTTTGGTGAAAGCAGTGTTAACAACAAACAAGTTTAGTTAAGTACCAGAAGGATGTCTGCAGCCCTGTTTTTCACATTGATGTAAGGTCTGAGGATGTCAAAGTGGAAGGCTGGCGTCAACATGCGTCTGTTTCTCGCCCACTTGCTTCCCTTGCTCAGTAGTAAGCCATCACCAACCCATGGACGAATCAGGTTGTAGATCTGGGAGGCTTTCGGCTCTGAAATAATTAGTCATGTCAGGACTGAACCAAGATTCTGCTTTGATCGTGTCAAGCTACCTGTTACCAACCCATGGACGAATCAGGTTGTAGATCTGGGAGGCTTTCGGCTCTGAAATAATTAGTCATGTCAGGACTGAACCAAGAATTTGCTTTGATCGTGTCAAGCTACCTGTTACCAACCCATGGACGAATCAGGTTGTAGATCTGGGAGGCTTTTGGCTCTGAAATTATTTAGTCATGTCAGGACTGAACCAAGAACCTGCTTTGATTGTGTCAAGCTACCTGTTACCAACCAATGACCGGATAAGGTTGTAGACCGGGGCAAATTTGGCTCTGAAATTAGGCCTTTCACTTTTCAAATTTGGTTTCATGGATTTTGTTTCTCAAAACATAGGGTTGGTGGTTAAAATGAAAACTGAAATAAAATTTCAAAACAATATTTTTTTATTTTAAAGTATGATGATAATCTTGCATAAGTGGAAATTAAGGAATATCACGGAAAAGTTAATACCCCCTTGTTCCCACCTAGATCATGGATTTGAACACACAATCAGCAGAGCCTGACATGACTATGGGAGATAACTCTGCAAAGTGAAATCCAACACTTCGGAAGCCAGGGCCATCCACTCCTCCAATAGTGAGGGGGCGGTCGGGTAGCCTAGTGGTTAAAGCGTTCGCTCGTCACGCTGAAGACCCGGGTTCGAATCCCGACATGGGTACAATGTGTGAAGCCCATTTCTGGTGTCCCCCGCCGTGATATTGCTGGAATATTGCTAAAAGCGGCGTAAAACCAAACTCACTCACTCACTCCAATAGTGAGACCATCTTCTCAATACAAGGGAATTAAGTAACTATAAAAGCCCACAAGGACACTGGACTTTTAAAGTCAGTTAACTCTCTTGATTCAGGAAAGTGAGAAAGTTCTTGTGCAGCAAATGTTTGTTAGCGTTTGATGGCTACCTTTCAGCATGTTACTGGGTCAAATACCATTTCTCAAAACATAGACCTCGCATTGGTGCACAGATGGAAATAACCTACCTGATGTTTTCAAGATGGATTTCACAGTGTCTGGATGGTTGACGATCAGCATGCTAAGAAACGGACCCAACCAGGCCAGTGAGCATGTAGGGAACTGTGCTGTCATTTCACGCTGGAACTTTAAACCTTCTTCATTGGGTCCAGGAAACTAGAAACACAAGCAGTTTGTGGGAAAAAAACATTTCCAGTGTTTTAAGTCATAGGTGCCTTGATCCACTATGTGACCACTGACAGCTTCTAGACCAGTTTATCATTGAGTGAGTGAGTTAGGTTTAACAGCTTTGAACAGTATTCCAGCTATATCACAGTGTGTCAGCTTGATGTGGAAGGAAAGCCTAAAGTGATACAGCTCTCAAACATTTACAACTTTGGTGAAATCCATGAGCACTGGTATGGTGCTGGCATACCTTAAAACATAATTGCGGCGAACAGAGGTTTTAGAACTCAAAATCATAGGTTTCTGGCGTGCCTAAGGGACACAACTCTGCACAGCAAATTGTGGCATCTTAAATGACAGGGACACAGGTGCCCCCCCAATCTGTAAGTGCTGAATTCACCGTAATAAGCACCCTGCTGCATTCAGTGCCCACTGACCACATTCTAGACCAATCTGGGAATAATACTTATAAACGTCCCCTACTAAAACCGACAAATGACACATGGAGAATAAGGGAAACAAAATCAACTTACCTGGTTTCTCAATTTTACATAGTAACTGAACTCAACCGATCATATTTTTATTCATATGGTGTTAGGAGTAAACTTCATTCGATAAATGTTCCCCCCCCAAAAACAAAAAAAAATCCCAGGTCAAAACACAAGAATGGGTGACAAAAGAGGCCACTAAACATGGAAATTCAACATTTTCAAAATTAATTTTTTTGGGGGAAGGGGTATGTCTCAAAACTTAAGGAATTAAGAGCTATATCAGACATCAAACTTTTGAACTGGTCCCTTAATTAGCATCTCCTTTTGTCAATTTTCTAAGTGCCCAGGGTGCTTACTATCTCTGCACATCTCTGCAGTGTTGCATCTAAAGTCCACTTTGTCATGTTTGTTGTATTTATTCTAAAAACTTGTGGGGATGGGTTAGAATATGTACCCAGCACCCTATTGTCGGGGTTTGAACATTGTTAAGCTGCCCGAATTAGTCTAACTCTGCCACATTCGTGATAGGAAACAATTGAGTCGAGATCAAACAACCAGTGACTGATCCACGCTATCAGGAGACACATAGGATCCAGTTTAGTTGTGACCAGAAAAGTGGTGCTGGACAGACAAGGCTCTGTTCATCAAAGGCTCTGTGCACATAACTTCATAAGTATCCATTTAGACATAAAAGAAAAGTGCACATTTAAATCTAGTGAGGACCCTCATAATCAAACTGAGTTTGTGCACAAAGCTTTTGACGATGATGGTCTTCATTATAAAAAAAATGCACTATTCTGTTATCCTTAAATGTCTACTTATGAAAAACAAACCACTGTTCATAATTATCTGTTGATTATGGTAGCTAAAACTTGCAATGTCTTTTAAAGGAATAAACAACGTAAACCACAAAAGTGCCTCCGTTTACTGCCTTGTTTACTGGAACTACTGGTTGCACCATGATAAGCAATTTTCGCCAGTACTGGTAGTAGCATTCAACGACAAGAACCTTGTCAAGGTGCTGGGGACCAATCCTAACTAGGGTTCAATCTCTGCAAAGACAATTCTTTTGGATACATGTACATCGGAAGTGGTTATTGGGACCACTTCAACCTGGGTATACCATGGTTCTGTTTATGAAACTTGATAAACACACACATTAACCTTGACCAGGTTCTCATTATTTTAATTGTTCACATGACAGAGATAACGGTGATGTGAGCCTTTCTTAAACAGGTCAGTGATAGCCATGCACAATCAGTGTACAATCAGGATAATGTATCACTGGACGTGTATTAACCTAAAATAGTTATAGTGATAATGTAACAAATGTTATATTTGGGATAGCATTTTCTGAGTAAATTGGCTGGCGATTAGGTGCCTCACGCTGGCAGTGTGGGTTCGAATCTTGGACTGGACTCAACCCCAAAAAGTATGAGAATCTGTACTTTACTCAGAAAGTGTTACCCAAAATATAACATTTGTTACATTTGACCACTTTCTAAATGGCATTGTGTGTTCATAACAATAGTCATCTACAAATATGTTCACCACATTGTGTGTTTATAGTGCTAATACCCTGATTAGAGTGTAATTTCTGATATGTTAATTTTGAGGCAAACATATTCTCAAAATACTTGTTGGCTCAAAGTGAAGATGTTAGGCTATTTATGAATGACGGGGTAACATGATAAAAAAACAACTTCACTAATCACTAAAATTATGTTTCTCAAATGAAATATCGCAAAAACATTCACACATTGATTGGTGTGTGAGATAGACATAGACTCTAATACTTTGATGCGATGTTGACTTGGCCTAAGTATTTTACATGCACATATGAACATGTTTAGGTAATTTCACTTCAAGACATCATAACACCATTAAATTAAATTTCTTTCATTATGAGTTCAAAAGATTATTTACATCACCAAGATGTCCCCATATCGGATTTTTCTTGCTCTGTGGAAACTTATTAACAGCATCAGCGTATCGTCTGAAGCGGATTACACTCTGGGCCAACTTGATGGCAGCGTAGATGATGGCGGAGAAAAAGCCGATCGAAACTGTCACAGTGAGAAACACTGACATTGCGGCGCTCTGTTTGGTGGAGCTTTGCACTGACAGCTACATCAACATCATCGGACTTTGTACGGTCTGATATTTATCATGGCAGAATCGTAAACATTGCGGGTCGTCTGCTAATACTTCCGGGTTACTCTAGAGTAGATTATCTTGAAAACATGTTGTATTTGTGTTTCTAAACAAAGATAAAATTTGATATAATCGTATCTACATGTCATTGCTTATAAAATAATTTGGTATACACATTATATTGTATTGATTTTAAAAATATTTTTATCGAAAAATAGCTATTTTCGAAAATGTTTTTGTACCAAATAATATATATAGAAACAGTTGTACAGAGAGTATTTACAACTGAAGATTTTTAACCAATCTAAAATAATCTTTCATAGGCATTTCTTGGGAGGTTGACGGATAATAAAGTTGAAGTAGACACACTTTATGGATAACAACGTGTGGCCAACGACTTCTTTATAATGCTGTAATATAGCGACGTGTCGGTATTATTCCTTATGCCGTTGTTTAGCAAGACTGAGGAAACTTATTCACTCCGAGGAACAGGTGCCCGGAAATCGATTGTTTCCGGTGAAAAAGTTTGCGTCAAATAAATCTGTTTCTGTCATTTAGAACTGATCTGTCAAGACAAAAACTAAAACAAAATGGCAATAGCCAGGCCCCCAGGAATGGAATTTGACCACAACTGGCCTGAAAGTACAGAGTGTCTGACACTAGATTTCGGACCATTTGAAACTGTTCACAGATGGAAGCAGATGCCTGAGTGTGATGAATTTGTCGGTGCCAGGTAGGCCCTCCCTAGAACAGTTCTGGACATCTTGTCAGTGGCTACTCTCGACTTATAATGTCATACTGCATACCAGTTTAACTAATACGAATCAGTCAATTATATGTATAAAATATTCTGACATGTCTGATTTAAGTTATTTTAGTTACTTATGTTTTCAAATCATAACATTTCAGTGTACATTTATATCCAAAGTTCTTCAGATAATTAAGTAGGGTTATCAGTAGGGTAAACACTAGTCGAGAGCTTTTAGTGTCTCCAACAGTCAAGACCCTGCAACACTGCAAACAACAGGAGCTTCATAAATCTGGGGGGATTCAGTGACCAACTTCAGGGGAAACTTTCAGGGGCCCCTGTTCTCAACTTTTGACTGAACTGTACACGCACAGGCTAAACACTGCTAACAGATTTGTTGTCTCATAAACAGCAATAGCCAAGTACATTTAGTAGTAGCATGAACTGTACCTTCAAAAATCATCAATGAACTTTTGACTTACTTGTTATTTTCAAGAAATGGGTTTGGGGAGTGGTTGGGAAGGGTTTATTATTTAGAGTTTTAGAAGTCCAGCATTTCCATGGTTACTAGTAATTCCATGTTCTTTTTTTAACAGGAGGAGTAAACACACGGTTGTTGCCTACAAGGAAGCTCTGTATGTGTTTGGAGGAGACAATGGGTGAGACTGCAGCATGAAACGCATGCCTCATACATGATGTCATATCCGCAACATCAAAGTTCATTTCCTAATACTATTCACTGTTAGAATTAGTTTCCACTAAGTTCAGTAACAGATGCCTGTTGTAAGATCAAGGCGACAAAATGGATCTGGTGGTCAGACATGGCGACATAGCTGATCCCATGGCATTGTATCCTAACTGCACGGGACATTGCTTAGGACGTCAAGCACGGGATTGTCTGACCCAGACTTGATTATTTACAGGCTGCCTCGATATTGTTGGAATATTGCTCTCTGTGGTATAAGACAATGAACATGCCAATTAATGGTAATAATCACTGATAATATCTGTCATTGTCTATCATGTCTATTTAGAACATTTTGTTGAGACACTAATTGTCAAACCCTGCCCAAGTGAAGATAATGAAAAGTTCACTCTTCAACCCTCCGAATTCACATTGTTCAGAGTGAGTGACTTTACTTCACTGATACATGATACATTTATCATGTTTATGCTTGTAAGAATCTAAATTATTTCATGTTCTGCAGATCCAGCTAGACACAGGCTGCTGATTTAGCTGGAATATGGCTGACCATGCAGACTGTGTCCACTTATTCTTTTCTAGCAGCTTGTAATGTCTTTTCTTTGTTTTCTTCATGTTAATACATGTTACGAATGTGATGTTTTATCTTGTTTTTGACTGCAGGAAAAATATGCTGAATGATTTGCTGAGATTTGATGTGAAGGATAAATCTTGGGGAAGGTTGGTATTTCATAGTGTCAGTCTTTATCATGTTTATTTAACCAATCAGTGAGGAAGATTTGAAATGGAAAGATCTTATTTATTGTTGACTTTCATATGCATACTAAACATTATATACCATTACTCTCGACAAGGTAGAATTATTATTTGTACCATAGCAGGGTTATGGCAGAGTTGTACACCGTAACAAGAATTTGTCTACTGGTTGCAGGTTCAGTTCTACCTGCTTGTGATCCCTGGTTTGTCTGTACCAAACACACGATGCCCATGTCACTAGTGTGTTCCTGTCATATTACCATATTCGACGTAATAAAGGCCCTGCTCTAATAAGCGCCTACAGCAATATTGGCTAGTGAACAATCCCAATTAGCACCCCTTCTGATTGATCATTGTACGCAAGACTTATATTTTCGTGTATAATACACACTCGTGTGTTATGTGTACCCTTAATTATGGGCAAATAAATTCTGGAAAAATTTATCTGTCGTATATTAACATTTCAGGGTGTAAGCATAAACCACAAAATTTACGTTCACCATTCACCAAAATAAAATTCTGATCAGAGACCCCTATTTCAAATTTGAGAGCACCCTGGGCTCTTATTATCCTCCCATATGTCACTAGTGCATTCCTCCCATATGTCACTAGTGCATTCCTCCCATATGTCACTAGTGCATTCCTCCCATATGTCACTAGTGCATTCCTCCCAAATGTCACTAGTGCATTCCTCCCATATGTCACGAATTCATTCCTCCCAAATGTCACTAGTGCATTCCTCCCATATGTCACGAATGCATTCCTCCCATATGTGACTAGTGCATTCCCCCCATATGTCACTAATGCATTCCTCCCATATGTCACTAGTGCATTCCTCCCAAATGTCACTTGTGCATTCCTCCCATATGTCACTAGTGCATTCCTCCCATATGTCACTAGTGCATTCCTCTCATATGTCACTAGTGCGTTCCTCCCATATGTCACTAGTGCATTCCTCCCATATGTCACGAATGCATTCCTCCCATATGTCACGAATGCATTCCTCCCATATGTCACTAATGCATTCCTCTCATATGTCACTAGTGCATTCCTCCCATATGTCACTAGTGCATTCCTCCCATATGTCAATAGTGCATTCCTCTCATATGTCACTAGTGCGTTCCTCCCATATGTCACTAGTGCATTCCTCCCATATGTCACTAATGCATTCCTCCCATATGTCACTAGTGCATTCCTCCCATATGTCACTAGTGCATTCCTCCCATATGTCACTAGTGCACTCCTCCCATGTCACTAATGCATTCCTCCCATATGTCACTAGTGCATTCCTCCCATATGTCACAAATGCATTCCTCCCATATGTCACTAATGCATTCCTTCCATATATCACTAGTGCATTCCTCCCATATGTCACTAGTGCATTCCTCCCATGTCACAAGTGCATTCCTACCATATGTCACTTGTGCATTCCTCCCATATGTCACAAATGCATTCCTCCCATATGTCACTAGTGCATTCCTCCCATATGTCACTAGTGCGTTCCTCCAATATGTCACTAGTGCATTCCTCCCATATGTCACTAGTGCATTCCTCCCATATGTCACTAGTGCATTCCTCCCATATGTCACGAATGCATTCCTCCATATGTCTCTAGTGCATTCCTCCCATATACAACTTGTGCATTCCTCCTATATGTCACTAGTGCATTCCTCCCATATGTCTCTAGTGCATTCCTCCCAAATGTCACTAGTGCATTCCTTCCTTATACAACTTGTGCATTCCTCCCATATGTCACTAGTGCATTCCTCCCATATGTCACTAGTGCATTCCTCCCATATGTCACTAGTGCACTCCTCCCATATGTCACTAATGCATTCCTCCCATATGTCACTAGTGCATTCCTCCCATATGTCACTAGTGCATTCCTCCCATATGTCACTAGTGCACTCCTCCCATATGTCACTAATGCATTCCTCCCATATGTCACTAATGCATTCCTCCCATATGTCACAAATGCATTCCTCCCATATGTCACTAGTGCATTCCTTCCATATATCACTACTGCATTCCTCCCATATGTCACTAGTGCATTCCTCCCATGTCACTAGTGCATTCCTACCATATGTCACTAGTGCATTCCTCCCATATGTCACAAATGCATTCCTCCCATATGTCACTAGTGCATTCCTCCCATATGTCACTAGTGCGTTCATCCCATATGTCACTAGTGCATTCCTCCCATATGTCACTAGTGCATTCCTCCCATATGTCACTAATGCATTCCTCCCATATGTCACGAATGCATTCCTCCCATATGTCACTAGTGCATTCCTCCCATATACAACTTGTGCATTCCTCCCATATGTCACTAGTGCATTCCTCCCATATGTCTCTAGTGCATTCCTCCCAAATGTCACTAGTGCATTCCTTCCTTATACAACTTGTGCATTCCTCCCATATGTCACTAGTGCATTCCTCCCATATGTCACTAGTGCATTCCTCGCATGTCTCTAGTGCATTCCTCCCATATGTCACTAGTGCATTCCTTCCTTATACAACTTGTGCATTCCTCCCATATGTCACTAGTGCATTCCTCCCATATGTCACTAGTGCATTCCTCCCATATGTCACGAATGCATTCCTCCCATATGTCACTAGTGCATTCCTCTCATATGTCACTAGTGCATTCCTCCCATATGTCACTAGTGCATTCCTCCCATATGTCACTAGTGCATTCCTCCCATATGACACTAGTGCATTCCTCCCATATGTCACTAGTGCATTCCTCCCATATGTCACTAGTGGATTCCTCCCATACGTCACGAGTGCATTCCTCCCATATGTCACTAGTGCATTCCTCCCATATGTCACTAGTGCATTCCTCCCATATGTCACTAGTGCATTCCTCCAATATGTCACTAGTGCATTCCTTCCTTATACAACTTGTGCATTCCTCCCATATGTCACCAGTGTATTCTTTCCTTATACAACTTGTGCATTCCTCCTATATACAACCAGTGCAATAAACTGTTCCAAGCTGTATTATTGTGTTCAAAGTAATCACAACTAATTCACTCACTGTGAACACAATAATGAAATAACACATGCATTTGACACTAAGAATTGTGTTCCCTCGAAAAGTGTTTCTTATACTGTATATCGTAGGGTAAAACTTATTTCTGGAAATATGTTCAACATGATCATGTATATGGAAATTCTCAATATTGTATCAATTATTGTTACAGAGAACAATTCAGGTACGCCTACAATATCCCTCGCTGTCAAGCACTGCCACATCAATAAACACCCTGCATTGCAGCATTTCATTTCTGCTTGAACAGGTTAAATAGAACATGAACATTCTGACGCTCGTAGTAACACGCTTCATCACGCTGTCAGGCAAACCATCAAATATCAGAACGCACTACCTGTCCTACCTGAACATCTGTCAAAGCTGTATATGTTCCTCTTGTACAACTGTCTTCAAATTTTGGCATTTTCTGGGTGTTCATTGAGTTCATGACTTTAGTTGAATTACTATCATGTTATGAAATATAGTCTAAAATAAAGCCCTTCAGACAACTTTATGCCAATGTCATTGCACTAGCAGGTAAGTTTTAGTGTTGATTTCAATAGCACTTTATCATGTTGGTTTTTATCTCTATCATATCCCTGTGGGGGTTACGGGTTCATGACGAGGTGACATAATGGCTCTGTGACCTGGATCCTTGTCATCCTACCTGATGTAGTGGATCGGTGCTCATAATATCAATCACTATTTTGTCTGGTCCAGACTTGATAATTTACAGGCAGCCCTTGCATACCTTGAATACTGATGAGTGTTGTGTTCACCAACAAACAACCCTTTACTATGGGGCCTAGACGACTGATGATTATCATGGCTTGTAGGACTTCATCGATTAGGGCCCTGAATATATACTAGTCCGTGTTAATCCCTGCCCAATTCTTTCATATTACCATGGTTAAACTGCCATGGCAGATCAACGATAGAAATATGAAAGAATTGGGCGTTTGTTAACTTAGTTTGAGCAGTATGTATCACTAAGATCATGATCTTAAAATAAAGTGTTTAGATCTATTTAATTTTTTTGTTTTTTTTGGTTTTATACATTTTATTTCCCCTTTTCCCTGTTACATGAGGAGGATGGCCATCCAGGGCAATGGTCACCCTCACATTCTGAAGACGATGTATGTATACATTTGGGAAAAATTAAATACAAGTATTGGAAATGGTGCCAAGGTGATTTTTAAGAAATATAACAAAACATACACACAGTCAAGTATTCAAAATATTATTCAAACACTGATCCTGGCAAGAAACAAATATGAGAAAGAGATACATAAGTTATTCCTGTTCTGCTTCTTCAAACAATATGTGATAAAAGATCCATGATTTATAAAATGTTGCTACATTACCATTTGTAAAGGCTATATTCTTCTCAATTTTGTATCTCAGACAAACATCTTTTTGAAATATTGCAAAGCAAAGATTTGTTTTTTTTAATCTACAGAAATATTATTTAATTTATTTATTGTAACCTTTCCATTGTTAGTGTTTGTTACACAGGTAAATTTCGTAGTAAGGTTGTTTACTTGAAGTTAAGGTTCGAAACGAGGCCACTGGAAACTGTGCCAAACCTCACTTTGCTTTGCTCTGACAGGAACTGCTGTGGGCATGTTGGGATTCAATGTGGGTCACATGACCAGGAAATACGTCTCCCTAAGAGAGAGAGAGGGGCGGTCGGGTAGCCTAGTGGTTAAAGCGTTGGCTCATCACGCCGAAGACACGGGTTCTATTCCCGACATGGGTACAATGTGTGAAGCCCATTTCTGGTGTCCCCCGCCGTGATATTGCTGGAATATTGCTAAAAGCGGCGTAAAACCATACTCACTCACTCACTCACTAAGAGAGAGATTATAAACTCTATGTTAAGTGACTAGAGCATGCATTTTAGGCAAGTTTTGATTTACATTTTCCACGTACCCTAAAATGATGAAGATTGGGAAAAAAACATTCAGAAATTTATTAGTCCTTTTTTTGTGAATTTACTGATACGTCAGATGGTGGTGTCACCTCCATGATGAAAGTGTGGTCGGAGAGGGTGATAATAATAGGGATACACTTGATCAATGAGGATGTATTCAATTTTGAACAAAAGGGAGCCATGGAAAACAAGTCTGATATTGCATCTATTTAATTACCTTTCACTACATGCTCTAAGACCATGAAGACAGGGGGACAGAGTCTCAGCATGATGAATGAAGAAACATTAGAAAATATCACCATATTGTCTATTTCTTGCAGGGCGTTCACAACTGGCAAACCTCCCGCCCCCAGGTATCACCACTCAGCTGTTGTTCATGAGAGCAGCATGTTCGTGTTCGGTGAGTACATGGCAACAGTTCATGGCAACGGTGCATGGCAACAGTGCATGGCAACACGTCTTCCCGAGGCAAGGGAGTAACTGACTTTAAAAGTCCAGTTTCCACCCTTCCCGAACTAGGCTGGAATTCCTGGACTCGATCGTAGCACCACCACTCGCTATTATATTACTCGAGTTATATCCCTTTATATCCCTCCTAATGACAAATACGATTCCATCGCTCATATTGCTTGCATTTGCTTCAAACAAAATGGCGACGCCCAGTCAAGACGATCTGATCGATAATCAAGATCTATATTGTAATAAAACGGGTCATGAAAATATTTGGAAAATATCTGTCTATATCCAGTTGATGGTACACATGCTTTGCAAATCCTGCAGGGGAAGATGATGGCAACTGAACATGGAGCACACATGGTACACACTGCATGGTATAATCTGCCAGTACAGTTGCCAGTGGTGACGCCCAGATTAACACATTTCTGGATAAGCAAAGTCTAGGTGCAGAGGATGTCTTTATATGTTCCCAACTGTAATTACCTGAAGCAGGGTTTCTAGAATAACAGGGTCCAGATTAGAAGGGTCTCTAGTTGAACATGGGACAGATCTAAAGCCTTAGAATAACAGGGTTCAGATTAGAAGGGTTTCCAGAATAACAGGGTTCAGATTAGTACGATTTTTTGGAATAACAGGGTTCAGATTAGAAGGATCTCAAGTACAAAGGTCCAGATTTGATTGTTTTCCAGAATAACTGTCCAGATTGGAAGGGTTTTCAGAATGACAGGGCCTAGATTAGAAGGGTCGTTAGTATAACATGGTCCAGATTAGAAGGGTCGTTAGTATAACATGGTCCAGATTAGAAGGGTCTCCAGTATAACAGTGTCCAGATTAGAAGGGATTCCAGTATAATAAGGCATGGATTAGAAGGGTTTCCACTATAACAGATTCCAGATTGGAAGGGTTTCCAGTATGACAGGCTTATATGCTTGTCACTCCAGAGATGTTGCTGTTACTCCCCACATTGATCTGATGCATGCAACTCATTCCTTGTACCGGTACCTTAAACGCCATTTCATCTGACCTTCACCTTGTTGAATGGTAACCACGTCAATGTCTCCCAGGGGGCTACACCGGGGACATCCACTCCAACTGTAACCTCACCAACAAGAACGATCTGTTCGAGTACCGCTTCAATAATGGACAGTGGGTGGAGTGGAAATTTGATTTGAAGTAAGTCCCAACGCTCACCTATCCTCTCTATGGATCTTCCCTTGACATAAAAGTTAATTAAAATGCAAAGTAGAAGCTGTTCAAAATATACGTAATCATGACAATGAACAATGGACCAAAAAAACAGGGACTGTTTTCTGCTTGTAGGTAGATTTTGTAATTAATACTTAATTAGACATTATCTCTGCGTAATTTTGGTAATCAGTAACTGCGAAACTGTGAAATACTGTGATATACACATCGTCAAATCAGAGATTAAGGTTCTGGTGTTTGTCAACAGGACGCCGGTAGCCCGTGCAGCCCATGGTGCTGCAGTGTATGATGGGAAACTGTGGATATTTGCTGGGTATGACGGGAACGCCAGACTGAATGACATGTGGACCATCGCGCTGCACGGAGACAAACGCTGCTGGGAGGAGGTGGGTACATGTTTAGAGGTCTGTTTCTGTCACTGTTTCACTTGCATTATGATTGGTAGACATATGCATCACTTTGGGCTTTCCTTCCACATCAAGCTTACGTGCTGTGATGTGTTTGAAATACTGTTCAATGTGGAGATATTATCACTCACTCATTCACTTGGTCGGTCACTCATTCACTCACTCAGTCACTAAATCGGTCCATTACTTGGTCACTCGGTCACTCACTTGGTCACTCTCTCACTTGGTCGGTCACTCACTTGGTCCGTCACTCAATTGGTCACTGGGTCACTCACTCACTTGGTCACTCACTCACTCACTTGGTCACTCGGTCACTCACTTGGTCACTGGGTCACTCACTCACTTGGTCACTCACTCACTCACTTGGTCATTCGGTCACTCACTCACTTGGTCACTCACTGGTCACTTGGTCACTCACTCACTTGGTCACTCACTCACTTGGTCACTTGGTCACTCACTCACTTGGTCACTCACTCACTTGGTCACTCACTCACTCGGTCACTCACTCACTTGGTCACTCACTCACTCGGTCACTCACTCACTTGGTCACTCACTCACTTGGTCACTCGGTCACTCACTTGGTCGGTCACTCACTCACTTGGTCACTCAGTCACTCACTCACTTGGTCACTCGGTCACTCACTCACTTGGCCCCCGGTCACTCATTCACTTGGTCACTCGATCACTCACTCACTTGGTCACTCGCTCACTCACTTGGTCAATCACTCACTTGGTCACTCACTCACTTGGTCACTAATTCACTTGGTCACTCGGTCACTCACATGGTCACTCACTCATTCACTTGGTCACTCACTCACTCACTTGGTCATTCGGTCACTCACTCACTCACTTGGTCACTCGGTCACTCACTCACTCGGTCACTCACTCACTTGGTCACTCACTCGGTCACTCACTCTCTCACTCACTCACTCACTCACTCACTCTCTCACATTTCGTCACTCGGTCACTCACTCACTCAGCTCAGACAAAAAGATACACATATAAAACAATCTGGTCATGCATATACTGAAGTTGACTGAAGCTATATCTTTACTCAAACATACAAAAAAGTCAGAAGGAATGCATGCCCAGTCAGAACATACAAACGTTAGTGACTTGTAGTGTAGCCATGGAGTATTATTGTTATTGCCATTAAACAGTATATCACATGACTAGCCATGGGTCCGGGGAGTCCTGTTGGGTACCTGGGTCCTCCTCAGTACCCACCTGACCTGAGTTACGTGTCCCAGCCCTGCTGGTCAGCTGTACTGTTGTACACTCGGGATCCTTCTTATTACTGTGTACAAACTGAGAAATCTGGAAGAAAGATTTAAGATGATAAGTAGCATCTCACCCTCGTGTCGTCTGATATCAAATATACCGCTAAAAGAAACGTGAAAAACATACATGTTGGTTTATATATGAAGACTTACTCATATACAAGATATATTAGATTGGTTCGATACACAAACAAATGTACTGGTCATTATGTGTACCGACGCTTATGAACGCATCACATGTGACGTCATAGATCCATTACTCGAGACTCACCACTTGTCTCATGCAGGATTAGCATGTAAAGTTTGGAAATCATGTGCAGCATATCGTGATATGAATAAAGACACTCTGTGGTAACCCTTGATTGTTAGTTTTGTCACTAATTGGTACACATTGGAAACATCTCTTTTTAACATACATACTTCTCTATATGTTTCTATGATTCGCTTTTCTTTTGGCGGTGAGTATATATGAACACTCGTCAGCAAGCCTAGCAGTTTTAAACTTTCAGCAGCTTGTGTTGATATCTTGATGTCAAAAGACACTGGGGTGTGATTCTGTATGTATTTGTGCTGACTGATGCTTGCAGGTGAACCAGAGCGGAGACATCCCGCCCACATGCTGCAACTTTGCCCTGGCGGTGGCGCGGGACCGCATGTATGTCTTCTCGGGGCAGAGTGGAGCCAAAATCACAAACAACCTCTTTGAGTTCAACTTTAAAGAAAAACTGTAAGAAAACCAATACACTTGTGATTTGAAAAGTTAAATTTTGAAACTTATCCTATCTCACACAGTGCATTTCCTCCCTCTTCTTTCGATCCTCCTCGGAAAATGTGCTTGAACAAAGTTTCCAGCTTCTAAAAACAATTCACCCAAACACATCCCAGCATCACTATGGTCACCATCCAAACAAATGGGTCATGCACTATAATCCTGTGCATGCCGACACCTGCCTCCTCATTCTGTTTCTTAGAGCTAACAGCCCTAAGGAGCTGTAATGCGGGATGGTGGGGAGGGCATATAGCTTGTGAAATAGGATAAGTTTATGAATATACAATTTAATGTAAAGTTAGACCAAACCAGCATCTGAAAAATGAAACTTGTCATGAATACCGTATTCCACTATGTATAAGGCAAGTTTTTCCTACCTTGAATTAGGGGGCTTTCAAGGGGGGTCGTCTTATACACAGGGTTGAAGAGTTTTGATGTTTTTCCCCCAACACAGACATAACTGTGAGCACGTAACACCGGAAATACCATGTCAACAAATCTGTAATGAAGAATGCAAACTAATCATGTAATTACACTGTCTGGTTGTAAGAACAGTTCATTATATATCTGGACTTACCTTTGTAATCTATTTTATTAATTTTATTCAAAATTTCATTCAATATTGTTTATTTTCATTTCGGCAAAATCATATGTGAAGTGATCGGAAGATCGCACAACTCACCGTTATTTACAGCAACCACAGTCATATTACCGCAATTGACGCCCTGAAACGAACTTTCGTTGATAGAGAATGGATATATATATATATCATACATGCCATACTTTGACTCGCTGAAGGTCATATTTGTTGTAGTTTGACTATTATTTGTCAACATAAAGTTTTCCCTATCGCGAGTGCGGAAGCATCGGCGGAGATTGGTCAAATTGTTCCATACAAAAATATATCCGGCAATAGCGATCAGCTGTACTAAAGTGCTACGCTTATGGTTATTAATTTGTTTCAAATATGTATAGTAAAATACTACTAAAATAACATGATATTAGAATAAAATAATCCAAATAAAATAATAGTTTCAGATTCAATTCTTTCGATTATTGTATCAAAATTCTATAAAGTTATATTATTGGGTAATTATTAACCAAATCACCACGCAATTGGGATCGATGACATGTATCAACCAAGTCAGTGAGCCTGACCACCCGATCCCGTTAGTCACCTTTTACGACAAGCATAGTTGCCTTTTACGGCAAGCATGGGAAGACCTATTCTACCCCGGAATCTTCACGGGTCACACAATACATGTTATATAGATTCCAGTTGTTCCCTGGTATGTTGTGTATCTTGTGGGGTCAACGTTTCTCCAAGGCATGTCATTCATGTATTGATGTCAAGGCTCGAGTCAAGGGTTGGCCTATATCCGATGTCGACCCAAACCCGGTAATATATGGTAATGTAAGTGTAGATTATACCAATAAAATCTAAACATTCAGTGATCAAAAGACAAAGAACTTTTGAAACTTTTGAAGAAATCGCTGGTATTTGATCCCTATGTTCTGTTTTCAGGTGGACCAGAATCTCTACTGAGCACATCCTCCGAGGTGCCCCTCCTCCCCCGGAGAAGCGGTATGGCCACACCATGGTGGCATTTGACCGTCACCTGTATGTGTTTGGTGGAGCTACGGGTCAAACACTTCCCAATGAGCTACACTGGTCAGTGCATGGTCCTAACTACACTATCAGATTTCTGACATACTTTTTGTATACAGATACTGTTCCTGTCTCCCTAATAGCTTCTGTTATTGGCAAAGTGATACAGACATGTTATGTATTGAGATATATATCACAGTACTCTTGTCAGTAATGAAACTGTAATGTTATTTCATTAATATTCAAGTGGCAGCAGTCTGATGACCACACTATATCATGTACAGCAGACGCCCATCTTCCCGAGACAAGAGAGTTAACTGACTATAAAAGTCCAGTTTCCACCCTTGCCGAACTAGGCTGGTATCATGGAGTTATATTTTGGCTGAACTAATTCCTGGGCAGGGATTTCAGCCTAGTTCGGCAAGGGTAGAAACTGGACTTTTTAAGTCAGTTAACTCTCCTGCGTCGGGAAGATGGCGGACGCCATAATGCTGGAATATTGTGTGGCGTTTAACAAGAAACATGTTAAACTGATGACTCAGTAATTAACAGATGATCATTTTGGGGATTGATAGTTTTCTTTGAGTATTCAATATGTTTTACATCATTTGGGTCTTGCCTGTTGGGTATTTTTACACCGATGGGTAAACAGCTTCATAAAATACTTGTACTTAAAATAATGTTGAAGGTAACTTCTAATTTGTATCTGTGTGTGTGGTGCCGCAAGTGGGAAACACATCACATAAACTCGCAACTGCAGTGTTTATAGGGAGAGTATGTCAGTGGTTCTGTGTGTCGAGGGGCGCCACACCTTTAGTTCATGCACGATTCAATTCTTAAACCAAAATAATAACGCTGTGCACAGTGAAGCCCATCTAAAGGTTGATTAACCTGTTAACAGTAAGTCAGACATAGCACCTTTCCTATTCATTATGGGGCGGTCGGGTAGCCTAGTGGTTAAAGCGTTTGCTCGTCACACCGAAGACCCGGGTTCGATTCCCGACATGGGTACAATGTGTGAAGCCAATTTCTGGTGTCCCCCGCCATGATATTGCTGGAATATTGCTAAAAGCGGCGTAAAACCTCACTCACTATTCATTAGGAGAGGTTGGGTAGCCCAGGAGTAGAAACGAACATTTTCAGTCCTCTAGTCCTTATAATGATAACAGAGAGCGAAACCCTTAAAATGGCAATTTATTCATGCAATAGAATTCCTGTATGTGTGATGTGTGATTCCTGTAAATAAAGCTGTATAAAGAAAAACAGGTACAAGTTGAAAAGGATGCATTGGCTTAATACATAGTGTTGTTATACTTTTGGGGTTTTGAAATTTCTCATGCGTATTTGTTTGCAAGCTAATCAAAATCAATTGGGGAATGGTGATTCCTTTTAATCTGGATCTCTGACCCATGTGGTAATTCACAAAGCACAATTCACAAGTGATGTTTGTTTTGTTATCTAGCTTTGACCTTGACTCCCAGACCTGGTCAATCACGGACCCATCATGTGACAGCCAGATCCCGGCCGGCCGTCTATTCCATGCTGCGGCTGTCGTCGGGGACGCCATGTACATATTTGGGGGAACGGTGGACAACAACGTCAGAAGTGGGGAAATATACAGATTCCAGGTACGTCCAGTGTCACGCACAGCTCAAAGTTTGTCACCTTTTGGATTAGAAATAGATATATGATGAAGGGGTTAACCTTTTTGGTTATGTGTGCAAGGCGTCCGACCACGGGCTAAGAAGGTCCGTGGTTCGAATCCCATCACGATGTTATGGCCGCTACATAACCATGCTACATATTCTACAGAGACATGTCCTGCTGTTTGTACTGAGCTGAATATGAATGTAGAAATATGAAAAAAATCAAATGAGTTTCATAATTGACCGTTTGTCTTTACAGTTTTCCAGCTATCCGAAGTGTACTTTACATGAAGACTATGGCCGACTTCTAGAGAGCCGACAGTTCTGTGATGTAGACTTCATTGTAGGATCTGTGAGTACCTATTTCACAAACTTGTCGAGGGAGAATCTAGACTTTTTTAAGTCTGTTTCACAAATAATCTTTTTTTATAGTCATGCGAGATAACTTGTCATCCTAGATGAGCTCTTGGCTCCATCCGGCTTACTCCATCACCTGTAACGTCCCATGTACAGCAGTGGAGTAGGGATATTGCAGACAGTCACTGTAGCCGTGTGATGGCAGATCTCAAACAACAAGTAGTTTGTGTTATGAGATGGCCAATTTAGAACTCAAGTTTTTCTGGGCTTAAAGAAATTAGGTATCACTTTTATTTGAAGACAAAAGAAAACCCAAACAATTTGAAGTGTTAATTAAGATTTGTGGCTGCAGCACAACAGAGGTAGTGCCAATTAGTCCAAGTAGCTTTGTTGATACGGACTGGACAATATTTACTAGGCCCAGGCTTTGGTCAAGTAGGTGAGGTACCTGGTATGGCATGACAACTGCAGGAGGCTTTTTCCATCAGTCTGAGCAACACTGATATTTGTCTTGTAGGAAAATGTGAAGATATCAGCGCACATCGCACTGATAGCAGCACGGTCTGGATGGCTGCGAGACAAGACAAAAAGTGCTGGATGTCTGGTAATATCATGTTTAATTTGACAGTATCCTTCTTAAGTTCACTGTATCCTTAGGAAAAGTTTGAATAGATAGATGTAGTTAAATATGATTAAGTTGAACAGCTCGGAACTGTACGTCAAGTGAAGCATATTATGAGACAAAACATTTGCCTGTACAAGACCATAGTTATGATGTTTTGTTGGGGGCCATAAAAATTATGTTTTTGAAGGATGTAAAGATGGACTTTCCTTGATGATCGATTGTCCATTTTCTGTCTTCATCTTGATATTGCAGCTTGTAAATTTTGCCTCGGTGACTTGGTTGATTGCATGTCTTCATACCCCAACAGCTTTGACTTTTCTCATAATATCAATCACTGGATTGTCAGGTTCGGACTATTACTTACAGGCCGCTGTCATATACAGTGGTCCCTCGCTACAATGCTACCAATGGAGTCCAAATAATTTGTGGGCGTTATAGACGATGAGCCGTTTAACCGAGGCGGAGTCGGAGGCGGGGGAGCGCGCTCGGCAAATCTCACCATCTTTGCCTTGTCTCGCACATTGCAATGTTGTTGTTACCGTTCATAGTGTAAAAATATATATCCATTATGTTTTCGCCGTTGGTTATTATTTCCAAGCCTTAACTGTCACATTCAATGTGAATGTAGTCTACTTACATGAAAATATTGATCGATAATGGTAGTAACAGACGCTATGAGTGAAGAGCCAATCACAATTCATTACACAAGTACAGAGTGTTTCAGTGGCATTGATTGGTCATGTTGCTTAAAATATGGAAAACAAGAATATTTACATGTGCGCATTCATACACATTCATACAAATATAGATACACATTCAAGCCAGATTAATTGGTTTGATACGGTTACTTGATCTGAATCAAAAAGAATGACCGTCGTGTTGTGACAGCAACATGTGAGTTGACAGTGTCGCCTCAAATTGGATTGCCCACTAATTAAGAATATAAACTTCGCTTGTGGTTCTCTTTTATTGCATGCATGTGCTTCTAAAATCAAAGGATGTATAGTGTGAAAAGTTAACTAGTAGAACAATCGTATTTCCGGGACTTGCCACGGATGTTTTCAAACAGATTATTAGAACTCCATTCAGCGATAAACGGTTGATTATGCAATGAGAGGTGTTATGTGAACAACGAACAACAATACAATCATGTCTGTGTAAAACTCTCAGTATTAAAAGTGTACATAAATTTTGGGAGCCATGCGTTACCGCATTACCGTAGTAACCGAGGTAGCGCTTTATCGGAGAGCACAATAGCGAGGGATCACTGTAGCTTGGATGCTGCTGAGTGTGGCGTTAAACAACAAACAAACAAATAGTGCATGTTTGGAAACTGAGACAATGTCACTATGTTATTTGGGTCATCCTTCAGTTAGAGTGTTTTAGTTAGTTAACAATCAGGGTGTGTTTAAGGACTGAGTTCAGATTTCTTTGACTGCCAATATGCCGAGCCTTCTCCTGACGTGTTCTTGGAATCACTGTTATTGTAGTTTGGTTCATTGATTTATAAACAAAAAGATGAAGGCGAAACTGTATTAATACTAGTTGCTGCTACTGCACGATATTAAGTGCATGATACCATGTTGTTGTGAAGTGTGTACATCATGTGATCTCATCCTAGCAGCAGTACGGGGAGAACAATCGGCTCGAGGTCGCGCTCCCGGACGCAAGTCCCAACGCTTTTGAGATGGTGCTGTCCTACATTTACACTGACAGAATCCACCCCACAAAGAAAGGTATATTGACAAGGTTTCATAGGAAAATCATTCTGTGCCTGTAAAGTTGGAATATTAATTATATACAAATAATCTTTAAGGGGTATAGCCTGCATTTAGACAGATGTATTGTTTTTTATTGTTGTCCTCCAGTATTTGTCTTTTCATTGATGTTTGCCCTGCAGGTCAGGAACCTCACAGTAATGATGTTATCCTCAGCATGATGGACGTGTACAGGCTCGCACTGCAGGTCAGTCTTCTCATGCTTGGAGTGAGTGAGTGAGTTAGTGAGTGAGTTGGGTTTAACGCCGCTTTTAACAGTATTCCAGTTATATCGCGGCGTGTCAACTTAATGTGGGAGGAAAGCCCGAAGTGATGCAGGTCTCAGAAGTTTACCACTTCGATGAAACCCACGAGCACGGGTATGGTGCTGACAAACCTCGAAACATAATCGAGGCGAACCGGGATTCGAACCCACAATCATAGGTTTCTGGCCTGCTAAAGGGACGCAACTCTGCACAGCGAATTGCGGCGCCTTAGACGACTGGGCCACCTGTGCCTTCCCATGCTTGGAGTGAGTGAGAGAGTTGGGTTTAACTCCGATTTGAACAGTATTCCAGTTATATCATGGACTGTCAGCTTAATGTCGGGGAAAGCCTGAAGTAATGCAGACGTACTTTGGTGAAACCCATTCATGGGTATGGTGCTGACAAACCTAGAAACATAATCGGGATTGAACCACAGTCATAGGTTTCTGGCGTACCCAGGGGAGGCAACTCTGCACAGCAAATTGCAGCACCCTAGACGACTGGGCTACCTGTTCCCCCGTCATGCTTGGAAGTCTGATATGGTATAGAGAATCCACCCTGAGTGTCGTTGGGTATCAATTGTATCAACACGAGTCAATAAGGGTCGAAAACTAAAAGGCTTTATCAATGAGTGTTGATTTGGTATCAAACGATACAAGAGTGAGATTCTACCTATCATCCAGAATCATTTTTCAACCTTTTCAGTTTTCAAACTGTAATAACCAGTATCTTCAGTGTAAAAAATACAGCTAACCAACTTCAGTGGCAGAGAGATTAGTCATGTCATTTGATTTTGTCGGGATTGTAACCGATGACATCATAATGAGCTACAAAGCATTGTGATTCAATTTCACTTCAGCAGTATCAGCAGGAAGCCAGTTTTGGATGATAAAACTGGTTCTTAGGTAAATACTAAAAGGCGACTATGCTTGTCGTAAGAGGTGACTAACAGGATCGGGTGGACAGACTTGTTGTTTGGTTGATGCATGTCACCGTATCTCAATTGCGTTGATCGATGCTCATGATGTCAATCACTGGATTGTATGGTCCAGACTCGATTATTTACAGACTGCCGTCATATGGCTGGAATTTTGCTGAGTGTGGCATTAAATTACAAACAAACAATGCAATACTGTCAAACAGAGGATGATGGCATGCTTGTTATAAAGCTGGTAAGATTCAGGCGGTTGCAGTGTTTTCCCTGTCATCCTCGCTCCTGCTATCAGACACAGGGGGCACGGGTGGCCCAGTCGTCTCGATTCACTGTGCAGAGTTGCGTCCCTTGGGAACGCCAGAAACCTATGATTGTGGTTTCAAATCCCGGTCCCCCCGATTATGTTTTTAGGTTTGTCAGCACCATATCCGTGCTCGTGGGTTTCACCGAAGTTGTAAACGTCCCACACCTGCATCACCTCGGGCTTTCCTCCCCAATTTAGCTGACACCCCATGTTATAACTGGAATACTGTTACAAGCGGCGTTAAACTCACTCACTCACTCACTCACTCACTCGCTCACTATCAGCCACAGGCTTTTTTGGCCTAGATTTGCAAACTGCTGAAACATAACTGTGATATTGAAGATAGTGGCTATGAAAACTGTGTTGACTGACTTTTGTTTGTTGTCGTATTTTGGGGGCAGGAGCAAATAACACTGAAAATCTGTAATGGCGCTGTCTATCATTTACTGAGAATGGCGTCACCCAGATACACTGATGGCGTGATGATGTCACGCCTCGTAGACGTGGCACTGCTGTAATGTAACCAAGACCACATGCTGCCACAGCGCTCAGTAGCATGCAGTAACACATGTGCCTTATTGGTGTCCTCAGTTTCACATGAGTCGCCTGGAGCAGCTGTGTGTTCACTACCTGGAGGCGTGCATCGGACACAGGAACGTCCTCGTGGCCCTGAGGAATGCTGCCAAACTTAATCTGGATTTCCTTAAGGTGAGTCACATGGATAGACACTGTCTCTAGACCTTCAGCCCGAGACCAGTGAAAATGTAGTGTTTTATCCAAACATCATGTTATTTTACATAAACCTCAGTGGTGTCTACATTTGCATTCAGCAGATCAGCATAGCAAGGTCCTCCACTGTCAGACTCACCTGGTCATCAGTGTTACAGAACTGTCTGGGGTTCATTGTGGAGGTATGTGTGTTACAGAACTGTCTGGGGCTCATTGTAACATGTTAATGTTCCAGGAGTACTGTCTGCGGTTCATTGTGAAAGAGAGCAACTACAACCAGATCGTGATGAGCAAGGAGTTCGAGACCCTTGACCAGCCTCTGATGGTGGAGATCATCCGCCGCCGCCAGCAGCCGCACCAGAGGATGTTGGAGACGTACCAGGACCCTGTCATCAGTGAGTCCCCTCCGTCATAAGCAGCTTTATGGCCATCACTCAGTCATTTTTGTTCAAATTGTAATGAAATTAAGCAATTTTGCCTTATCCTGACTCATACCAATCGCTTATGTCACCTTATTTCCAAAAGGTAGAGGATGTAGTTTGAGTCAGGATGAATATCATTGATATTATTACTCTAAAAACCCATTTTGTTTAGCTTATCGTGGGATTCACATGGATAAATCTGCATTTGAGCAAGTACTAGAACCTGGATACCTGTGGTATGTTAATGTATAATATAATATCAATTCTACACATATGTTCTGTTTTGGGGAAGATTGAAAATTTTGACCTTGTTTGACCATGCTCTTATATTCACTCAGAGTGTATATTTGGCTCGGTAAACTGGCCAGACGAAGGGCGTTGAACTTTTCGCATGTATTTTTGTTCTTATGATGACATGTCTTACCCCATGTCTCACTCACTCACTCGCACAGACAGACACACTGAAACAGACACATGCACGCACAGACCACACACAGACCACACACAGACCACACACAGACATGCACACACCACACACAGAAACAGACACACACACACAGAAACAGACACACACACACCACACACAGAAACAGACACTTACACACAGAAACATACATACACACACACACCACAGACACACATGAACAGACACACACCACACACAGAAACAGACAGGCACACACCACGCACAGACCACACGTACACACCACGCACGCACGCACACAAACACACACACACACACACACACACACACACACACACACACACACACACACACACACACACTGCTGAGATCAGATGACTAGTTATCCCAGGTGTATGGACATGGACGGTGTTGTCCATGTGTACACACAAGGATCGTTATGTGCCTGTTGCAGCCAACTCCCTGGAGAAGGATATGGACGTCTTCCTCAAGTCTGCAGGCCACGAGTTTTGTGACATCACACTGATGCTGGACGGCACCCCCGTCAGGTCCCACAAGGCCATCCTGGCGGCCCGCTGCAGCTACTTCGAGGCCATGTTCCGCTCCTTCATGCCGGAGAACAACACCGTCACAGTGAGTGCAGGCAGTACAGTGACACACCGGGATTGTCTGGCTGCACTAATAGGAAATCACCTCATGTCTCGGTATTGCTGAAGAACTTATGTGTTGAAACATGTTTGTCCTGTTAGTGAGCATACCGCCTCAGTGGTCTAGTGGTAGAGCATCCGCCTGGAGAGCGGAACGTGCGGAAAGAGCACGGGTATGGTGCTGGCAAACCTAGAAACATAATCAGGGCGAACCAGGATTTGAACCCACAATCATAGGTTTCTGGAGTAGCCAAGGGACTTAAGTCTGCACAGCAAATTGCAGCACATTAGACGACTGGGCCACCTCTGCCCCCTCTAAATAATTGAGTTTGGACAAGACAAACCTGTGATTGTCTCCCCTAGTGATTCCATTTTAAAACAGGCCCAAGCAACCTGTGATTGTCACCCATAGAGATTCCGGGTTAAAACAGGCCCCAGCTACCTGTGATTCTCTCCCATAGTGATTCCAGGTTAAAACAGGCCCCAGCTACCTGTGATTGTCTCCCCTAGTGATTCCAGGTTAAAACAGGTCCCAGCTACCTGTGATTGTCTCCCCTAGTGATTCCATTTTAAAACAGGCCCAAGCAACCTGTGATTGTCACCCATAGAGATTCCGGGTTAAAACAGGCCCCAGCTACCTGTGATTATCTCCCATAGTGATTCCAGGTTAAAACAGGTCCCAGCTACCTGTGATTGTCTCCCCTAGTGATTCCGGGTTAAAACAGGTCCCAGCTACCTGTGATTGTCTCCCCTAGTGATTCCAGGTTAAAACAGGCCCCAGCTACCTGTGATTGTCTCCCCTAGTGATTCCAGGTTAAAACAGGTCCCAGCTACCTGTGATTGTCTCCCCTAGTGATTCCGGGTTAAAACAGGTTCCCTCGACCTGTGATTGTCTCCCCTAGTGATTCCAGGTTTTAACAGGTTCCCTCAACCTGTGATTGTCTCCCCTAGTGATTCCAGGTTAAAACAGGTCCCAGCAACCTGTGATTGTCTCCCCTAGTGATTCCAGGTTAAAACAGGCCCCAGCTACCTGTGATTGTCTCCCCTAGTGATTCCAGGTTAAAACAGGCCCCAGCTACCTGTGATTGTCTCCCATAGTGATTCCAGGTTAAAACAGGTCCCAGCAACCTGTGATTGTCTCCCCTAGTGATTCCAGGTTAAAACAGGCCCAACCTACCTGTGATTGTCTCCCATAGTGATTCCAGGTTAAAACAGGTCCCAGCTACCTGTGATTGTCTCCCCTAGTGATTCCGGGTTAAAACAGGTTCCCTCGACCTGTGATTGTCTCCCCTAGTGATTCCAGGTTAAAACAGGTCCAAGCAACCTGTGATTGTCTCCCCTAGTGATTCCAGGTTAAAACAGGTCCCAGCTACCTGTGATTGTCTCCCCTAGTGATTCCAGGTTAAAACAGGTCCCAGCTACCTGTGATTGTCTCCCCTAGTGATTCCGGGTTAAAACAGGTTCCCTCAACCTGTGATTGTCTCCCATAGTGATTCCGGGTTAAAACAGGTTCCCTCGACCTGTGATTGTCTCCCCTAGTGATTCCGGGTTAAAACAGGTCCCAGCTACCTGTGATTGTCTTCCCTAGTGATTCTGGGTTAAAACAGGTTCACTCGACCTGTGATTGTCTCCCATTGTGATTCCAGGTTTTAACAGGCCCAAGCAACCTGTGATTGTCACCCATAGAGATTCCGGGTTAAAACAGGCCCCAGCTACCTGTGATTCTCTCCCATAGTGATTCCAGGTTAAAACAGGCCCCAGCTACCTGTGATTGTCTCCCCTAGTGATTCCGGGTTAAAACAGGTCCCAGCTACCTGTGATTGTCTCCCCTAGTGATTCCATTTTAAAACAGGCCCAAGCAACCTGTGATTGTCACCCATAGAGATTCCGGGTTAAAACAGGCCCCAGCTACCTGTGATTATCTCCCATAGTGATTCCAGGTTAAAACAGGTCCCAGCTACCTGTGATTGTCTCCCCTAGTGATTCCGGGTTAAAACAGGTCCCAGCTACCTGTGATTGTCTCCCCTAGTGATTCCAGGTTAAAACAGGCCCCAGCTACCTGTGATTGTCTCCCCTAGTGATTCCGGGTTAAAACAGGTCCCAGCTACCTGTGATTGTCTCCCCTAGTGATTCCGGGTTAAAACAGGTTCCCTCGACCTGTGATTGTCTCCCCTAGTGATTCCAGGTTTTAACAGGTTCCCTCAACCTGTGATTGTCTCCCCTAGTGATTCCAGGTTAAAACAGGTCCCAGCAACCTGTGATTGTCTCCCCTAGTGATTCCAGGTTAAAACAGGCCCCAGCTACCTGTGATTGTCTCCCCTAGTGATTCCAGGTTAAAACAGGCCCCAGCTACCTGTGATTGTCTCCCATAGTGATTCCAGGTTAAAACAGGTCCCAGCAACCTGTGATTGTCTCCCCTAGTGATTCCAGGTTAAAACAGGCCCAACCTACCTGTGATTGTCTCCCATAGTGATTCCAGGTTAAAACAGGTCCCAGCTACCTGTGATTGTCTCCCCTAGTGATTCCGGGTTAAAACAGGTTCCCTCGACCTGTGATTGTCTCCCCTAGTGATTCCAGGTTAAAACAGGTCCAAGCAACCTGTGATTGTCTCCCCTAGTGATTCCAGGTTAAAACAGGTCCCAGCTACCTGTGATTGTCTCCCCTAGTGATTCCAGGTTAAAACAGGTCCCAGCTACCTGTGATTGTCTCCCCTAGTGATTCCGGGTTAAAACAGGTTCCCTCAACCTGTGATTGTCTCCCATAGTGATTCCGGGTTAAAACAGGTTCCCTCGACCTGTGATTGTCTTCCCTAGTGATTCCGGGTTAAAACAGGCCCCAGCTATCTGTGATTGTCTCCCCTAGTGATTCCAGGTTAAAACAGGCCCCAGCTACCTGTGATTGTCTCCCATAGTGATTCCGGGTTAAAACAGGCCCCAGCAACCTGTGATTGTCTCCCATAGAGATTCCGGGTTAAAACAGGCCCCAGCTACCTGTGATTGTCTCCCATAGTGATTCCGGGTTAAAACAGGCCCCAGCTACCTGTGATTGTCTCCCATAGTGATTCCGGGTTAAAACAGGCCCCAGCTACCTGTGATTGTCTCCCCTAGTGATTCCGGGTTAAAACAGGCCCCAGCTACCTGTGATTGTCTCCCCTAGTGATTCCGGGTTAAAACAGGCCCCAGCTACCTGTGATTGTCTCCCCTAGTCATTCCAGGTTAAAACAGGCCCCAGCAACCTGTGATTGTCTCCCCTAGTGATTTCCAGGTTAAAACAGGTCCCAGCTACCTGTGATTGTCTCTCCTAGTGATTCCAGGTTAAAACAGGTCCCAGCTACCTGTGATTGTCTCCCTAGTGATTCCAGGTTAAAACAGGTCCCAGCTACCTGTGATTGTCTCCCTAGTGATTTCAGGTTAAAACAGGTCCCAGCTACCTGTGATTGCCATCATGGGCAACCAAATGGATTGGAATGTCAGACATGGTGACTTGGTTGATTGTGTGTCAATGCATATAGGGTTACATTAACATTCCCTCACCCAGGCATGCACTGTCAATCACTGGTTTGTCTGGTCAGACTTACAGCCAACTGTGATATAGGTGCCAGCAAAAAACAACTGATGTGTACTGAACTTATGTGTTTGAAAGGATGATTCTAGCATCTGGTTTTAGGAGAGTAATGTTACTGTTTGTCCGAGCAGATCATCATCGGCGAGATGGTGCCATCCCGCCAGGCGTTCGACAGCCTACTCCGCTACATCTACTACGGCGAGGTGTCCATGCCGCCCGAAGACTCCCTCTACCTCTTCCCCGCACCCTACTTCTACGGCTTCACCAACAACAGATTGCAGGTAGCCAAGTTTTGTGATCACAGTACTGATGTTATATGGAGGTCAAGTAGTACGTGTTCAGAGTATTTAACTTTCCTGAGACATATTTCTAAAATGTAAATGGTTGAATTCCATTTGAAAAAGGAAAAGCTTTAATGTACATTATATTGCGTCATTGTGCACTTATTAACCATTGTGCCACATTCACGCTTTGTGGTGGTCATACAGGCAAATCCCGCACCCATCTTCCTGAAGCAAGGGAGTTTACTGACTATAACAGTCCAGTTTCCACCCTTGCCGAACCAGGCTGGACTTTGTTGGCTCAGTCGCTATTAGTAGTTATGTCTCTTCTATGTCCCTCCTATAGAATCAATCAGATTCCACCTCTCATATCACTTACATTTGCTTCAAACAAAATAGTGGCACCAGTCAAGATGATCTGATCGATAATCAATATCGATATTTTTGTTTTTGTTTGCAGGCATTTTGTAAACACAACTTAGAGATGAATGTCTCCTTCCAAAATGTGATCCAGGTGAGATATGTAGGTAATTGCTATGATGTGATCCGTGTGAGATATGTAGCTAATTGCTATAATGTGATCCAAGTGAGATATGTAGGTAATTGCTATAATGTGATCCAGGTGAGATATGTAGGTAATTGCTATGATGTGATCCAGGTAAGATATGTAGGTAATTGCTATGATGTGGTCCAGGTGAGATATGTACGTAATTGCTTTGATGTGATCCTGGTGAGATATGTAGGTAATTGTTATGATGTGGTCCAGGTAAGATATATAGCTAATTGCTATGATGTGATCCAGTTGAGATATGTACGTAATTGCTTTGATGTGATCCAGGTAAGATATGTAGCAATTGCTATGATGTGGTCCAGGTGAGATATGTGGCTAATTGCTATGATGTGGTCCAGGTAAGATATGTAGCAATTGCTATGATGTGATCCAGGTGAGATATGTAGCAATTGCTATGATGTGGTCCAGGTGAGATCACGCTAAGTAACACACACATTTGGATTCTTATATTTATGTCAGTTGAATATTCCCCGTGGCACTCCGGGTTAGCACACATCTACTGCAACCTATGCCCGTTGTATTCAGGGGCAACTCAATGGATCAGGGGCTTAGTGACAAAGTAGAAAATTCCGGGATAGAACTGGTCTTTCAGCAACCATGCTTGTCATAAGAGGTGACTAACGGCATTGAGTGGCCAGCCTCGCTGACTTGATTCATCGTATCTCAACTGCGTAGATCAATGCTCACGATGTTAATCTCTTGATTGTCAGGTCCAGATTTGATTTTTGTACATACCATCGTCATATAACTGTAATATTGCTGAATGCTGCGTTAAAAAAAAACACGCGAAAAACATTAGATTGCTGCACCTTATTTCAAACTATTGGAAGAAATGACCCAGTTCACACATTTCCTCATTAATAATGGACTGAAACAGATCTGCCCTTTAAGTGAAATTATATGTCTTGCTTGTACTTTAAGTCAATCCTTTCTGGTTCCAGATCTTGGAAGCAGCAGACAAGATCCAGGCTATGGATATGCGGAAACATGCTCTCAATATCATAGTACATTACTTCCCTAAGGTAAGCAGTTCTCAATATCATAGTACATTACTTCCCTAAGGTAAGCAGCTCTCAATATCATTGTACATTACTTCCCTAAGGTAAGCAGCTCTCAATATCATAGTACATTACTTCCCTAAGGTAAGCAGCTCTCAATATCATAGTACATTACTTCCCTAAGGTAAGCAGCTCTCAATATCATAGTACATTACTTTCCTAAGGTAAGCAGCTCTCAATATCATAGTACATTACTTCCCTAAAGTAAGCAGTTCTCAGTATCATAGTACATTACTTCCCTAAGGTAAGCAGCTCTCAATATCATAGTACATTACTTCCCTAAGGTAAGCAGTTCTCAACATCACAGTACATTACTTCCCTAAGGTAAGCAGCTCTCAATATCATAGTACATTACTTCCCTAAGGTAAGCAGTTCTCAATATCATAGTACATTACTTCCCTAAGGTAAGCAGCGCTCAATATCATAGTACATTACTTCTCTAAGGTAAGCAGTTCTCAGCATCACAGTACATTACTTCCCTAAGGTAAGCAGCTCTCAATATCATAGTACATTACTTCCCTAAGGTAAGCAGCGCTTAATATCATAGTACATTACTTCTCTAAGGTAAGCAGTTCTCAACATCACAGTACATTACTTCCCTAAGGTAAGCAGTTCTCAGTATCATAGTACATTACTTCCCTAAGGTAAGCAGCTCTCAATATCACAGTACAGGAGCACTTAATATCATAGTACATTATATATATACTTATACTTCTGGGAAGTATATTACCGGTACTTCCCTAAGGTACTCTTTACATTCTCTCTATGATATTTTGAACAATCATTATTTTGGATTTTGTTCTCTATATTTTCTTGTGGAGCAGCTTGTAAGTAGAGTGCAATGGTTGAGGTGCACCAGAGCTCCAGATAAGCTCTTGGTGTTGTGGGTATTTTACGCATGCATTTTAAAATCATTGGGTATCAGTAATTCTATCTGGGTATTCAAATTTCTGTTACCCACTAGTTTTTACACATGTGGGTATTTAAGTTAAATATTTAAAAACACTATTTTTTAACTTATCCTGCATTACTCCGTATTGCATTTACTGCTATGTTTGACAGAGAGACGAACTGTGTGAGATCCAGCTGCTGAAGAAAGTTGTCCCAACCAGCCCAGGAGGCAGCGCCCTCTCACAGTCGGCACGTGACCCGGAAGTCATGACGTCACACCAAAAGACATAACTGCTTTGTCACCTCCACGGACGGACGTACTTTGTATCCCTTGTGGAAATTAAAGCTTATTATTTGTTTTTTATATTTTGCGTGTTTCTACATTCATTATATGCTGCTACATTGTTACCTGTTATGGGCCGTGACCTTAGGGTCTTCCCATTCGTAAATTGTAACGTTTATCGCTCGTCTGTGGCTCACGTCACAGTAATTTACGGGCGCAATGTTGTTCCCGCCATTTTGGCCATTCACCACGTGGCCACGTAATGTCGTGTTCTGCGTTTTGAATTCTCTCTTTGGCTTGGGTAATACATTACATTTATGTATGTTGTTTTGGTGTGCTTAAAGCCTTGCCTTTTCGCTACCTCTAAGCGTAATTGTTTCTTCTCATAAACTTCAATATAATACGAAGTTTATGAGTTACATTATGTCTCCCGTACTCTGTGGTTTTGCCACATGGTTACGTGTTTGCTTAAGGCTTTGCCTTTTCGCTCCCTTTTAGCGTACTTGTTTATCTCATAAACTTTAATAAAATATACTGTTTTTGAGTTACTTTATGCTTCCCATACTTTGTGATTGGCCACACATTATGCTTCCCGCACTTTGTGGCTTTGCCACATAGTTATGTTTTGCTTAAATTCCAGATTTTCTGCCTCGCTGCACTTGTTGCCGCGGGAACAAATCTGGCCGGGGCCGCCCCTTTCTGCCGTGATTGTACGACGCCCTGTACTTTCACAAGGCAGTGCCGATGTTGCAGTCATTCGTCGCTGTGATCCTTCAGCTCATGCGAGTATCCAGGACACACCTCGCTCAACGTGCTCGTCGACCCCCACCTACGTTGACGGCAGCAGCGCTCAGCGGAGCTTCACGGCGGCTCCCAACGTAGAGTCTGCCTCCCATGGCACGACATACGACCGTTCACGGTCTCCTACTCCACTGGCGGCTCCAGCGCTCCCAACGTAGAGTCTGCCTCCCATGGCACGACATACGACCGTTCACGGTCTCCTACTCCACCGGCGGCTCCAGCGCTCCCAACGTAGAGTCTGCCTCCCCTGGCACGACATACGACCGTTCACGGTCTCCAACACCGTCAACGCTGATGTCTCCGGCGCCCCCGGCGCCTCTGATGACACGGCGCTCCCGGCGCTCCCGGCGCTCCCGGCGCCTCCGGCGCCTCTGATGACACGGCGCTCCCGGCGCCTCCGGCGCCTCTGATGACGCGGCGCTCCCGGCGCCTCCGGCGCCTCTGATGACGCGGCGCCTCCGGCGCCTCTGATGACACGGCGCTCCCGGCGCCTCTGATGACGCGGCGCTCCCGGCGCCTCCGGCGCCTCTGATGACGCGGCGCCTCCGGCGCCTCTGATGACACGGCGCCTCCGGCGCTTCTGATGACGCGGCGCCTCCGGCGCCTCTGATGACACGGCGCCTCCGGCGCTTCCGATGACGCGGCGCCTCCGGCGCCTCCGATGACACGGCGCCTCCGGCGCTTCTGATGACTCGGCGCTCCCGGCGCCTCCGATGACTCGGCGCCTCTGATGACTCGGTGCCTCCGGCGCTTCCGATGACTCGGCGCCGCTGATGTCTCGGCGCTCAACAAGCTTCATGACTTGTTCATGACAAGCTGATGACTCGGCGCTCCCGGCGCCTCCGATGACTCGGTGCCACCGGCGCCTCTGATGACTCGGCGCCGCTGATGTCTCGGCGCCTCTGATGTCTCCGCGCTCCGGCGCCTCCGCATCCTCTGATGTCTTCGGCGCTCAACAAGCTTCAGATCAACAAGCTTTATCAAGCTCAGATCAACGAGCCGACCATCCGATCTTCTACTGCGGCTTAAGGGGCACCATCGGCAATCGCCTCCCCGGCGCCACTGCCCTCTTCTCTTGCTGCCGTCTCATAACTCGTCACACGGAGAAGCATGGTGAAACAACTGTCGCCGCTCCTGTCGCTACTCTCCCGTCGGTCTTCGGGATCGTGACTATCGTACTACTTCCTGGGTGGAATCATTTCAACCAATAGACAGTTGGTCTGATTCAGCTTGCCCACTGAGACGTTATCCATAATCCCGTCGTTTAAAGCGCTATGATTCCGGAGAGATGACCTGCGGGTTTCCATCGAAACAGAGCGCCATGTGAACAGCGTCTGTATCAGATTCGATGACGACATCCACTTACAAAGAGTTTACTTCGTCGACATCGCAGACATCAACGCTGTTCTACCCTACCCTAGCGCCAGCGTTCCTGAGAGAGACTCTTCCTCGGCGCTCCCCGGGTTTTACACGACGCCCATGGGGTTCCGTGTTTTATCGCAAAACTCGGGTACACCACTTGATCGTCTCTCACACAGTTCATTGAGGATTGTCTGTGTGTGGAGTTTGCACCTCAGTTCCGACTCCAAGGCGGTTTTCTCGGCTACTGCGCAGAGTGATTTACATGTCACGTGTCAAGTACTCGGACTGTCAACAACTCCGACCGGATTTAGGTCAACTTACCATGGCAAGGGGTGCCATGTATTTCTACAGATTGGTTTCCATGTCTACCTGTACGCTTGGTGATACCACTCAACCAGGCGCCTGTCGCAGTCCATCCATGCACGGATGTTGGAAACAATAGACCTCCTCTACCAACACGGCTGTCACGAGGAACCTTGTTTCATCAACCCTTCGCTATAAGAACGATAGCGCCTATAGGCGTTCAAGGGATGGAAAAGATCGCCTTCCTTCGTCCGGTTTGATCTTTTCGACTACGACACCTTCCTATCTTCCGCCTTGACTACCGGACACAGTGTCGATTTGATACTTAAAGTCCCTCGGCCGTCCCACTGACCCCTGTTGCATACCTGCCTCGTATCGTGTTGTCGTCCTCCATCGTCACCTCGATATAAGAACAGGAGTACTTATACGCCGCTTCAGGGATGAAAACGATCTCATTACTTCGTGCAATGGCCATATTGCCTCGACTTCCTACTACCCGGTTACGTCGATGCCCCGGCGGTCGATTGTGAAGCTAGTTTACTTCGTCTACTTGAGGTTGGCTCGCAGGCGATCACACCTTTTTCCGAATCGTACCGACGGTACGCAATCGCAGACCCCTGTTGCTGACTACCTCCCCTGCCACCTTGTCAGTGGCTAGTGGCCCACGCCAGCCCACATTGTGACCACCTGTGATCCAGAGATCAACACCATAGGCACAGCAACAGCCTCGAGATAAATGCTTATCCAGGACGGCACTTGCTGACAGTGCATTCTCGGTCACGCCCTGTTGAACGTGTCCACTGACGACGTCACCGTAGTGTGGTGTTTGCGGACCCAGAGTTCTCGCCCCTCTCCCGGCGCTACAAACTCGACCGGCGCCCCCGAGAATCACCATCTTAGGCGTTCCAGGCGCCTCAAGCTCTCCGACGCCTCACGCTCTCCGGCGCCTCGGGCCAGACTATGTGAAACGGTCGACACCCCAACCCTAGATCTGTTTGCCTCATATCTGAATGTGGCCAGCAGTCGTCTTCCATTCCACCTGTGCCGGATACGACCGCTGTGGCAGTCGAAGCCTTCCATCGTTCCTGAGAAGGATTACGCGCGTACGCTTTTCCGACTCCGGTTCTCCCTCCCACGGTTCTTCAGAGATCCAGGCCACTCGACCCCTGCCATTGACTTTGGTCTCGCCTTATTGGTCAGCCAGAAGTTGGGTTATCGACCTCCGAAACATAGCCAGAGACAACCCCTGGAACTTCCGGTGTGGTCCAACCTTCTGCTCCATCCACACGGTCTGTTGCCACACCCTCATACCCGCATGTTATCGTCTGCACGCCTGACACACATGCAGAAAGCCAAGGGCTATTCGGCTAGAGCGACCAAGGCTATTGCTTCAGCCCACCGTCCATCTACAGGGGGACTGTATGCTGATAAATGATGCTTGTTCCAGGCATTTTGTTCTGACAAACACCAGGATCCGATGACAGCGTCACCGCAGATCCTGGATCAGTTCCTTCTGTACTTGTGTAGCACCCATCGGTTGAAGGGCTTACCACCCCCACATACCTGGTCGCCATCTACTCCTTTCTGGCCATCCCGGACGATCGGAGAAAGACGAAAATTCCCGACCTACGGGCCTGGCTGCGCTCGTTCAGTCTTGAAGACCTGAAGACCAAGTTCGGACCGCCTGCGTTGGATCTGAATGTGGTCTTCAATGCCCTTCGAACCACTCCCCTCGTCTTCCTTCTTCGACCTTAAGTAGAAGACGGGTGTTTCTACTGGTTTTGACTACTGCCGCTCGAGTCCATGTACAGCACGCCCTCGACGTCTCCCATGCCCGGTTCGAATGCGGTACCCAGGGCGCCGTTCATCATGGACCGTACTGGGACGTCAGCGTAAAGACTCAACGCCCAGGACAGCCTGATAGATCATTCCTTGTCCCCTCCCCCCTCGTCCAGTGTGGGTGCCGAGGATGAGGATGAGCGTCATTATGCCCAGTAAGGGCACTGAAGGTTATTCTACGATCTAAAGACTGCCGCAAGTCTAGGAAACACCTTTTTCTGCCGGTCTCCCCTTCGTCGCTGTCGTTGGTCAGCCGGAATACTTTTCCCTGTGGCTCCGGGCGGTCATCCTTAAAGCGTATGAGCCGCCGGATTGGACCCTCCCCCCAAAGGCTATTACCTGAAATAAAATGAGATCAGGGCGATCGTATTTACACTGGTTCTTCACGGTATACTGTTCCATCCCGTCGTTCAGGGAAGCCTGTTCGTGGCGATCGGACACCGCCTTCACCAACCACTACTTCCGTGATGTAGCCTTGAAAGTTGTCGCCGGCGTTCACAGTTTTGGTCCCTGGTTGTAGCCCAACAGGTCATCTATCTCCGACGCCACTGATTCTCCGATACCCTGAGCGGGGCCCGTCGACCTTTCTGGTGTTTATCACCCCAGACGAGACGGCTCTCTTGCGTTCCGCATTCGCTCTTAGGTCAGTTTTAGTTTTGGGTTACCCGACTCATTCTATTGCTGTCACCTATCCGGGTTTTACTTTTTGCATCAACTCTCGTTTCCTGACGACAGGAATGGTAGTAGATGTGGACACCGGCGCCGACGCCAACGCCGCTGCTTCTATGGTACCTGAGCGGTGCCCGTCGACCTCACCGGTGTTCCTTGCCTCCAGCCTAGAGGGCTCTCCTGCGTTTCGCATTCGATCTTGGGATTGGTCGTAGATTTTGCCGCCGACGCCGCTGATTCTTCGATTCCCCGAGCGGGGCCCGTCGAACTCTCTGGTGTTTATCACCTCAGATTAGCTCTAGGTTCTACTGCGTTTCGCTTTCGCTCTTCGGTAAGTTATATATTTTGGCTACACGCCTCATTGTATTTCGGTTACCTATTCGGGCGTTTCGTTTTTGCATCGACTCTTGTTTCCTGAAGACAGGAATGGTCGTAGATGTTCCGGTCATCACTTGTATGCGGTGCGGATTCATCGGACCTTGACGAGGGTTTAATATGGTTCACATCTGCAAGTATGCCCACCGGCCAAGCCGTCTGATAAAGATGCAATACGGAGTAATGCAGGATAAGTTAAAAAATTTAGTAAAATCTAAATATTTTTTACATTTGTATACTTATCCTGCATTACGAAGTCTAAGTTCCCTCCCTTTCGCTACGCTACCTCCCCACGAAGTTTCAGATGTTATGTTTAAAGCAGTTATGTCTTTTGGTGTGACGTCATGACTTCCGGGTCACGTGCCGACTGTGAGAGGGCGCTGCCTCCTGGGCTGGTTGGGACAACTTTCTTCAGCAGCTGGATCTCACACAGTTCGTCTCTCTGTCAAACATAGCAGTAAATGCAATACGGAGTAATGCAGGATAAGTATACAAATGTAAAAAATATTTAGATTTTACTAAATTCATCTAGTCCCTGCAAACTGGTGTCGTGTGGGTTCGAGAGCTTTGTAGGACTCAAAAATACCACGATACTTCCACAAGAAAGTGTGATGGCAAATGATCATGATTTTACTATCATCGTGGAGTTTGACAGGGTTGGCGGAATGCCCGTTTATAATTTCAAAATAAGTTGCTGATTTGCGAATCGAATACGCAGGGTTACTTCACAATATTTTGATGATACGCACAAGTTTTATTTTTGTAGCGCATCTGTAATGTTCGTTGCGTATTTGATACGCTTGGATTTTATTTTACTGCGTATTTCTGCATTTCTGATGCGTATTTTACGCAGATGCGCAGCTTATCTGGAGCTCTGTGCACATTTCTTAACATCATCATATCATGTCCTCTCTTTGCTGAAGTACAGCTGCACTTGTTGTTCCAGGTTGCTCGTCTTCCCCAGATGCGCCGACTCAGCAAAGAGCTATTGTTGGACATCGTCGACGCTCTCGCGGACGACATGAGCGAGTCTCGGCTCTGTCAAGATATGTCAAGTGCCAGTCTTAGTGAATCTAGTAGCACGTTATGACTATGGTAGAACTGATTGGGCACAGTGGCACAATATGACTGCTGGAATTGATCGGGTTCAGACAAGTCCCAGCAGATCCAGTAGCACAAATAGGACTTGTTATGATAATGAAACTAATCAGGTTCAGACATTCTGGTCTCAGCGAAAACTGTACCAAGTTATGACTGGTGGAACTGATTGAGTTGAGACATTCTGGTCTCAGCGAATCCAGCTGCACTATAGGACTATTGTAAGGATGGTGGAACCACTTGGGTTCAGACATTCTGGTCTCAGCGAAAACTGTACCAAGTTATGAATGGTGGAACTGATTGAGGTTAGACATTTCTGGTCTCGGCGAGTCCAGTAGCCCATTGTGATTGGTGTAGCTGAGTCCAGTAGCCCATTGTGATTGGTGTAGCTGAGTCCAGTAGCCCATTGTGATTGGTGTAGCTGAGTCCAGTAGCCCATTGTGATTGGTGTAGCCAGCAGGGCCAGCAGGGTCCGGGAGGAAGGACTGGAAATCAGGTAGACACGGGACACTCCGGCCAGTTCTCCAGGCAGAGCAAGTCTTGTGTCAGGAGAATATGTCCTGGTCAGTACGGAAGTTAGAACCTGGTTGAGTGCACTCAGAGCACCGGGCAGTACGGAAGTTAGGACCTGGTTGAGTGCACTCAGAGCACCGGTCATTACGGAAGTTAGGACCTGGTTGAGTGCACTCAGAGCACCGGTCAGTACGGAAGTTAGGACCTGGTTGAGTGCACTCAGAGCACCGGTCAGTACGGAAGTTAGGAACTGGTTGAGTGCACTCAGAGCACCGGTCAGTACGGAAGTTAGGAACTGGTTGAGTGCACTCAGAGCACCGGTCAGTACGGAAGTTAGAACCTGGTTGAGTGCACTCAGAGCACTAGTCAGTACGGAAGTTAGGATCTGGTTGAGTGCACTCAGAGCACTAGTCAGTACGGAAGTTAGGATCTGGGATCTGGTTGAGTGCACTCAGAGCACTGGTCAGTACGGAAGCTAGGAACTGGTTGAGTGCACTCAGAGCACCGGTCAGTACGGAAGCTAGGACCTGGTTGAGTGCACTCAGAGCACCGGTCAGTACGGAAGCTAGGATCTGGTTGAGTGCACTCAGAGCACCGGTCAGTACGGAAGTTAGGATCTGGTTGAGTGCACTCAGAGCACCGGTCAGTACGGAAGTTAGGACCCGGTTGAGTGCACTCAGAGCACCGGTCAGTACAGAAGTTAGGATCTGGTTGAGTGAACTCAGAGCACCGGTCAGTACGGAAGCTAGGATCTGGTTGAGTGCACTCAGAGCACCGGTCAGTACGGAATTTAGGATCTGGTTGAGTGCACTCAGAGCACCGGTCAGTACGGAAGTTAGGACCCGGTTGAGTGCACTCAGAGCACCGGTCAGTACAGAAGTTAGGACGTGGTTGAGTGCACTCAGAGCACCGGTCAGTACGGAAGTTAGGACCTGGTTGAGTGCACTCAGAGCACCGGTCAGTACGGAAGTTAGGACATGGTTGAGTGCACTTAGAGCACCGGTCAGTATGGAAGTTAGATCCACAGATGGGACACAAACCAAACTGTCACTGTAGGGCGATTCTCTGGATAAACAGCCTTAAACTCGAATAGTTGACGGTGTCTCACATCAATAACTTACTTAAAAGAGAGATGGCATGGACACTATGAAAGGATTAAGGGTACCTTGAAAGTGTATCATTACTCAGAGTACCTGAAATCTTTGTCACAGCTCCATGCATGCCAATGGGAGGCACGGGTGGCCCAGTCGTATAAGGTGCAGCGATTCGCTATGCAGAGTTGTGTCCCTTGGGCACGCCATGATTGTGGGTTCGAATCACAGTTCGCCCCGATTATGTTTCTAGGTTTGTCAGCACCATACCCGTGCCCGTGGGTTTCACCTAAGTGGTAAATGTCTGAGACCTGCATCACTTCTGGCTTTCTCCCCACATTAAGCTGACACGCCACAATATAACTGTAATACTATTAAAAGTGGCGTAAAACCCAACTCACTCACTCCATGCATGCCAACACAAGTGTACATACAGCAGAACCACATCTCACAGGTCTCGCCATTCCCGGATAATCGTCTTCACCAAGTTCGTCATCAATATGCGTAGCTATTTATTTGACCCTAGCTGGCAGATCAACGGCTGCTATTTACAATGGCTATTCACGTCACTAGGGTTATTTGAATGTCACTGGCCTCGTAGAATGTGAGTGAACTTTCTGTGGCTAGTGACAGACAATTGAGCATAAGTGGTTCACATGACAATGAAGACACTGACTGTTGTCTATTAGATGATTCACGGCAACTTAGATCTCGCCTCCATCCATGATAAAGATACGGCATCATCAATACTTCAAGGATGAAGTTACACAAACACAGACTTTGAGCTCTGTCTTCACTGCCTCAAATGAGGCGGGTATTTCAGTACAACGTGGAGTGATGTCTGATCATCAATGCAGGGTGTAGATTAATATTGGTTTGGAAGGTATGACTGGGGAATCTCATGGTTGCATAAACCAGTCTTTTTTAAAAAGTAATTCCCTTCCCTTTATGGCTGAAATAGTGCTGATGCGATGTAAAATCTGTACAAAATTAGTTTAGTCTAATGGCCCAATCTTGTCACTTCTCCGTTTATGACATTTTGTGTTATAAGCACCTTCAAGCCATTTTGAAAAAAATCAACTTTTCAATACTTTAAGGCATTAACAGCTAATTGCTGAATCTTTGTCAAAGTAGTCAAGACAAATATTTCAGCATTACCATCATCATGATCATCATGGCCATGTATGTGTTATGACAGATGTTTATCATGTTTGTATATGTCATAAGTACATATACATGTGTGTTACCATGGTTACTGAGTGTACTACATGTGGAACTTCTTGATATCTGTGATACTAACTTGATGTCTCGGTGAAATGTGTGTGATAAATGTGTAGGTTATATTTCACAGATTCTTGAATTTTGAATATTAACATTTCTTGTCAGATTTACTTTATTCATTTTATAACATATTTATTCGATTCACAATATACAAATAAATACTTTTGTTTGTAGAGCTGATTGTGATGGAGAACAATGTTTACATTAAGAGGAGTTTCGGGCATAAGCAAATAAAATGGCCATCAATATTTTTAAAGTTCCAATATATTTTCAAAACATTTACAATATTTTTCAATCCCTCTCAAATTAGTTATAAAACTCTCAGGGGCGGTCGGGTAGCCTAGTGGTTAAAGCGTTCGCTCGTCACGCCGAAGACTCGGGTTCGATTCCGGACATGGGTACAATGTGTGAAGCCCATTTCTGGTGTCCCCCGCCGTGATATTGCTGGAATATTGCTAAAAAAGCGGCGTAAAACCATTACTCACTCACTCACTCACTATAAAACTCTCCAACTCTCCATTGTGAAACCTGGGATGACAGTTTCCTGCAGATCGGCAAACTTCTGCAGATTTCAGTCAATTGGTTGCCGATGGATATAAACCAAATCAGAGTTGACCCTAGATGCTCCCAAAACCATATCCAATTGGATTTATTTAATTTCAAAGATGTTTCTGTTTTGGAGCTAATCAATTGAATAACTTCGAAGGGGAGATAATCTGGTTCAGGAGCCGGAGTTACAATTAAGTCCAGAATTTTAAAGTTGCTCTTAGTGCGGAATAAGATTAGAATTTTCTAAGAGTTACTCTTAAATCTGACAGTTTTCTATTTATTTATTCTCTTTAGACTTAATATTAGTCTTAGAGTAACCAAAAGTCTTCACTGAGCACCCCTAAATACTTCAGAACTTTGTTAGTGAATTAAGAGTTAGTGAGTTAAAGTATATTTATGAATATTTTGAGAATCATTATAATGACATGACCAAGTTGGGACCAACTGTAACAATTACTTGGAAATGCTGTGCATGTACATCTTCCCGAGGCAAGGGAGTTAACTGACTGTAAAAGTCTTGTTTCCACCCTTGCCGAACTAGGCCAGAACTTTATTGTTATATTTTCTACCCTTGCCGAACTAGGCCAGAATGTTTTAGTTATATTTTGGCCAGACTAACAAGTCTATGCATAATCCAATCAAAATCGTGAAACTAAATCAACATCCGGTTCTAAATAACATGGATTTCAACATGCAGATTTCGGCCGACTGCAGGATTTGCTAAGGATGTGAACCGTTAACTGGCATTGACAGATATTTTCCAAATATTTTCATGTTTTTAAACAAGGTGCTCATGTGATTTGATGAACTTCGCGAGGTAAGATCCGTTTACAATGTAGATCTTGATCAGCGATCAGATCTTCTTGACTGGTTGCCTACATTTTGTTTGAACTAAATGCAAGAGGTGGAATCTAATGGGTCAATAGGAGGGACATTGAAGGGACATAACTCGTAATAGCCACTGGTGGCATTACGGTCGAGCCCAGAAATAGTCAAGGGTGGAAACTGGACTATCACACTCAGTTAACTCCCTTGCCTCGGGAAGATGTACCAGTAGTGCACTCTGGCTGTCTCATCTTCATATCAGAATGCAATCATGGTAGTAAAATAAGTTGTTCCTTGAGTTTCTGAACAGTATGAAGTATGCCCGTCAACAGCTGAGTAGTACACTGTATATAAGCATGAAAGTGGTCTCCGTGAGGTCACAATGTTCAGGAGAGGGTACAGTATTATTGTTGACAGCGTCATGTTGATACAGCTGTCAACACCTGTGCATTTATTGCAGGTCAATAAACTGATGTTATACACTGCTTATTGTGTGATGGTTGTTTTGTTTCCATGGTTACCAGGTTTATGAGCCTCATAATCATTTATGAACCGGGGCTCTGATGCCCTTGTGGTCAAAGGCACAACATTGTACTGTGCAGAGTTGCATGCCTTGGCTGTACCAGGATCTGCTAGACATGCGCATGAAGCCCAGGTACACACTGGAAAATGTCTTTGTTCCGTCAACACCACTGTTGAACTAGTCCTG